AGCAGGCAATCCACTCACCTCAGCCTCCCAAAGCATGGGATTACAGGCTGAGCCACCGAGCCCAGCTCATGTAATTTTTTAAATATTGAGAACACTAGAACACCAAAGCAACCCAGAACCACATGTTCTGGGTGTAATTTTGAAAATGGCACAATAAACAAATCTCACAGCCCCACTGGTCAGCAGCTGCAGAGATAAGAAGATAAAGGCTGAGGCTTTATCAATGCAAAGAGGCAAGGAAAACTCCCACACCTGGCCACAGCTTGCAAAGGTGGTCATCCTGTGGCAGATGTGTGCATGCCCACACCTAGAGGACTGACCACTGGTAGTGGCTGCGTGTCTGCTCCAAGCGATGCATGTACTCACAATAACCACCTGTCCATAGGACAACCCATGCATGTTTGAGCAGATTTATAAGGATTCGAGGGAAAAACAATGTGAACAAATAGAAACCACCTATGAGCAAGTTCGCTAATTCACTTATGTATTTTTCATGGTCAGCAAAATCAACTTAAACCATGCTCTCTGCTCTGACCTCCCTCATCATTGACCCTCTGTAAGAGTAATAACGAGGCCGGGCTCAGTGGCTCAGCCTGTAATCCCGCACTTTGGGAGGCCGAGGTGAGTGGATTGCCTGAGCCCATAGGTTCGAGACCCGCCTGGGCAACTGGGTGAGACCTCATCTCTACAATAAATAAAAAAAAAATTAGCCGGGCATGGTAGCACGCACCTATAATTCCGGCTACTTGGATGGCTGAGGCGGAAGGATCGCCGGAGCCCAGCAGGTCGAGGCTGCAGTGGCCAGGCACTCCAGCCTGGGCGGCAGAGTGAGATTCCAACTCAAAAAAATTAAATAAATTTTTTTTAAAAAAGACTAATAACATTTCCTAAATAAAAGCAAACTACCCTCATCACAACTGTTTTCTAATAGGAGAAACCCTTAGTCAAAATGTTTTAGAGTAATAGTTGTCAGGATAGCATTTTTTGTTAAACAAACGCATCATGATCTCACACGATAAAAGTATAACACAAAATGGTGTTCCAAGATAGTTGAGGGGACTTGCCTTGCCCTTGGAGCGTTGCCCTTTCACACCAAGTCAATCAAGATCCCTGATTTCACCGTCTGCACAGTTTTAGAGCTCTCTTCCTTCTTTTCCATCCCTCTGCAATGTCTCTAGTTCTGGCCTTCGTCATTTCCCAACCAAAAGAGCCCCCTCCTCTCTCTCCTTATTCTCGCTCCCTTTCAAGCCACCCTCCCTGGCCTGCAGGGAAAATGCCTAGTAGTGGATCAAATCACGGTCTGACAGTGACTGCTTCCTCGCCTCCAAACCCTTCATCTTCTCACCACTTAGAGTGGTGCTTCTGACACCAGAGCTTGTGAACCATTTGGTGAGTTATACAATAAATTTGGAGGGTTGTCATCAGAATTTTTTTAAAGAAAAATATAAAAGAAAATGGAATGGAAAATATTAAGGCGCCACACAGAGAAGGTGTGGTTTTACATTTCTACCTTACATATGTGTGCTGGGTCATGCCATCAAATGCATTCCTTAGTGTGAGTCATGTTTACCAACATTTGAAAGACACTGTGCTGTCGGACACTCAGTGCTCTTTCACACAGCATTTGGAACCTTCTCTGATCTGACCCTACAGCCTCCTCAGCCTCATCTCTTGCATTCAGGTCAGGCAGTATCACACTGCCAGTAATCCCCCTGCCTAGAGTGGAGACCTCTTTTTCTCCTCTCCTCACCTGGCTAACCTCACCCATCCTTTAGATCTCCAGGCACCACCTCCTGCAGACCCACCCCTAACCCAGGCCCACCATGCCTTGTGCATAGCTTTGCCTCTGTGTTGTGATTTCTGCTCTGGATCTGTCTTCCCCCTGAACTCCAGGTTTCAAAAGTCAGGAAGTCGTTTCTTCATCTTTGAATCCTTGAAAGCATTTAGCACAATGCCTGGCACAAAATAACACCTTCATAAACATGTGTTGATTGAATGAAAACCTTAAGGACTTTCCAATGCGGAGTTTCTGCAGTTGTGTCTGACTGTGCCCAAGTTCATTGATGACCTCTTTTCCGTGCTAAGTAATAAGTGATCCTTCTCATCCTGAGAGATGAAAGCCCATACCCCTAGCTCATAAAATAACAGTGTTATATTCCCAAGAGAGAATTCAGGGCATTTAAGTAAGAGTACAACAACCCTGCAACCTCATGCAACAATTCCCGTATGCAGACCCTGATTCATGTTCAGTACTGAGGGTCTGAAGGGGAAAGTGGACCTGCCAAGCCAGACCAGTCCTGGTAAGACAAAGGCAGGCCATGGCACACAGGAGACCCCAGCCAGACCACAGCAGTCCCCTTAACTGCAGAAAGTGAAGTTAATGACTGAGAAAAAGCAAGACCATTGACTCCTTGTAGCGGTAAACCACATGCAGTTCTCGTAGACTGTGCATTGTCAGTGTCTGCAAGTGCTTTGTCTTCTACCAAGACCTGTGCTAGAGAACACATGCCAACATATTGTGTGTTAACACGCTAAGTTCTCCTTTGGTGTATTTTTAGGAGTGGATCTTGCCATCAAAAGTCCTTTGTAAAGTCTACAGTGAGAAAGGATAAGGCACAATCAATGAACTAAGAATAAAAGTCTCTGCATAGTCATAAACCAGCCGATGTGCTCATGGTTGGTGAATGTCAGCATATCAGGGCTCACAGGACTTTGTCAATGTAACAAGCAAGTGGACTGCGTCACCTGTATGAAGACACTTCGATTCTAAACAAAAAGTAATTTCTAAGTAAACTTGTATTATGCACAATTTTTTAAAAAACCTGATGTGTGTGACAACCAGGAATTTGGCATTTTGCGGATTCAGGCAGATGGTGAGCCTCATTTTAGCTTTGCTAAACAAACTCTTCTGCTGAGTACAAATGAACAGCATGAACAAGAGTTCTGAAAGAGAAAAGCATAGCAGTGAGGCATTGGAAAGTCCTGCTCCATCTCAGGTTGCCATCCCCTCCCGACCTTCGGAGCTAGCATTCAAATTGCACCTCTTTTTCCTCATCTTCCCCTCAGTGACTCCACCTGACCTCCCTGCTTCCATCCTCCACAGGAATTTGGGAGTCTGCATCCCTATTCATGACTGAGTCCCATATCCGTGTCTGTCTGAAAAAAGAGTCATGTGATTATGCCCCACTGTTATCTGCTAAAATATCAGCTTTTTCCCTCCAATTTCCCTTTCTAATGTTCTCCTTCCCATCCAGGGATCTCCCCTTCCTTCCAGATCTCCAGGCTCCAGGCCAGCCCCTCCTCCTCAGGGGTCCGTGAGCAGTGAGTGCTCCAGCCCTATGTGTCTCGCTGAGGATGCTTTGTCCGCCTCCTGCCTGGGCTCCCCGCTTCTCTCCTCTTCACATTACCACTAAGTCAGATTTCAAGGCCTCTCTCTAATTGTATAGAAACTATACAGTCAAGCTTCATCAAAAACCTACTACGACTTCCCATGTAAGAAAGGTCCATTGCACAGCCATCCATGGTCCAAGCCCACTGTTCATGGGGTGTTTCTTGACCCCCACAAAACCTGCCTCCCAGTCACTGAAGACCATGCACTTTTTCTTGTTTCCTTTGCCCATGATCTCTCTCATCTATGCATGTTTCTATCCAGCCGTTAAGCTAAGTGAAATCCCTTCCTCTGTGGCATGCCTCAACTGCTCTCTGAGTCCAGTGGCTCTCGCATTCTGGTGGTCTCACATCCCTTAAAGAATCCAGTGTGAACTGTGGAAGACACACACACATGTTCCTGACAAGAGAAAAGCATGCACTTGTTCATACATATAAGATTGGCAGACAAGTTCAGGCAGTCCACCTTAGGCCCGGATGAAGAACCCTGACTGCCAGGAGTTCCTCTCTCCCTCCTCTCTACTGGTGCAATCATTGCTTGGACCCTGAAGTGATCCCTAGGACCCACCACACTCAGCACGTGTTCTTCCATGTTCCACTAACTGCTGGATGCATAACTGTGGTGTGTGTGAGTGCGTCTGTGTGTGTGTGTGTTGGTATGCATCTGGTCTCTCCCCACTAGATTGTAAGCACCAGAATGACAGCACTCCTGCTTGCACATATTATATCTTCCTGACACCAAACATGTTCTCTTGCATGTGTTCCATTTGTTGATGAACAGGTGGGTGGTCAAAGGCATGAAGGACTCTTAAGTAACACAGAAATGATTTGTTTACACTGGTTTTTCTTCGCTGTAAATACTCTTATTTATTTCATACCAACTTGAACCTCTAAATTACTAAACACTGCTGTTTTTTGCATTTGTTATATAGATGCTGAAGCATGCTGAATAGTGCTAATTATGGCATTTCATAATTATTAGTTTTCAAAACATCATTTTGTTCAAGGTGGCCATCTTTCTGTGGGAATATCTTTGTTTCAAAGCTGATTTTATTCATCTCTGTTGAATGTTATATATGATAAGTGGGAGAAACCTATTAACTTGAAGCTATCACTTTCCACCTCCTAAAAATGGGCTTGTCACATAGTGCTGTTAGCACACAGTTTTGAAGTTTGGCTCTGACTTCAGAGTTTTGACAGTGTTCTCTTGCAGCAACTCAGATACGAGTGTACAGAGGGTCATAGCTCAGACCCTGTGAAAGGAACACAGTTCTGTGAGAACTGCATAATACCAACCTTTTCCTCTCCCTTCCTCTGTATACTTTAATACACACATTTTACAGCATTGCTTTTGTGCAGAGCTGCGTAACTACCTCTCCTTGTAGAGATAAGAGGAATGGTCTCTAGATGGTTGCACTGTATTAAGCTTGATAGCTATTGAGGGGAAATTGATTTTTTAAAGTGTCCTGGTGTTTGTTAAAAGGGATTCTTTTCTGTCTCTAGACCCAAGTCTACCCTCCAGCAACCTATTTGGAGAAGATCGGTTTCATTTCTCTTTTCCACTACATCAGGAAAGGCTACAGGAAGCAAGAAAGGACATTAAGATGATCTTAGAAAGTTTTAAAGTATTTCCATCTCAATCTAGCCTTTTATCATTATTTCAATAATGTCCTAGATTATACCATCATGTAGACTTCAACTCCAACCTAAATTACTATTTCTACAGTAACTGCAACCCATTTTTTACTTAAATTGTAAGATGAGTCTTTTACTTTCCCTCCTAAAATTTCATTCTGTGTTACTTGCAAACTCTAAACTCCTTTGAAGCCGTAATATAATAGTTCTAGAAAAAAACAGCATCTTTACCTCTGTAACCCAAAAGTGAAAAGTAGAAACTAAAGTATCTGTCAAAAAATATATTAACAGCGGGGCAATTTCCTTTCTCAGAAAGTCCAAGCATCTAACATGAAGACTTTAGAGGAGTATGAAGCAAAATTATAATTCTGTGCTTGATAATGGGACTATTTTTAATTCTTAAAGGGAATTAAGATTATTTTTTATGTACTCTGTTCCTGTCCAAATGGCTGTTGGTGCCAGACCCAAAATTGGCACACAATCAATGCTTTTTTAATTAATTCATTTTCCAGTGACTGCTAATACAATGCCTATGTTCAATTCTGTCTCCAAAGTTCCCATGTAAATTATGGTTAAAAAGAGTTGCATGCCCTCTCTGAAATGCTGTCTTTGAAGATGCTGGTCTTATAAGTAATAGTCATAATGAAGTGGTTTGAATCTCCCCAGGTGCTTATTTTTGTTATCTCCACATTATGAATGACAACACTGAGCACTGGACAGGTAACATTCCCAAAGGCACACAGCAAGGACAGAACTGGGCTATAAATCCAGATTTGTCTGGCTCCGGAGACAGCAGACTGACATTTACATTTGTCACTCTCCCTGGGGCATTCCCTAGAGACACAGTCACGTCCTTTGTTCCTTGCTCTTCCTTACTGCAGAAACAGCATGAAAGACTGAGGGAACAGGCAGAGGTGGTAAACGCTTCTCTGAGCACATCTGTGGATTCTCTGACAACGCCTCGTCTGACTCTTTCGGAACTTGATGATATAATAAGGGTAAGGAACATGTGACTTGTTCAGGTTTGTGTTTATAGCAGGTTAGAACAGCAGACCAGTGTCACAGAAGAATAATCAAATCCTATTCATATCTATCAGGCTGGCAGACATTATAAAAATGAGATCAGGCAACTGAATTTTTTCAGTTTCTTACACTGTACGGTGGCTACTGGCCACATATGACTAGTTAAATTTAAATTACTTAAATAAAATTTTAAAATGTAATTCTTCAGATGCATTCGTCACATTTCTTTTTTTTTTTTTTTTTTTTTTTTGAGTTACAGTCTCCCTCTTTCACGCAGGCTGAGTCTCACTCTATCATCCAGGCTGGAGTGCAGTGGCACTTTCACAGCCACCCCAGCGTCAATCTGCTGGGCTCCGGCAATCCTTCCACCTCAGCCTTCCAAGTAGCCGGAACTACCACACCCGGCTAATTTTTAATTTATTGTCGAGACAAGGTCTCGCCAAGTTGCCCAGGCTGGTCACAAACCCGTGGGCTTAGGCAATCCACTTGCCTCAGCCTCCCAAAGTACTGGCATACAGGCTAAGCCACCGAGCCTGGTCACCTTGGCCACATTTCAAGTCCTCGGTGCCACATTCAGCTGGTAGCTGCTTTATTCAATTGCACAGATACCATCACAGAAAACTCTGGAAAGTGTTGACCTCAGTCCAGCCAATTCACTCTTGACTCAGAGAGTTGTATGTTGAATAAATCTGGCCGTCAAAATTAACAAAAGTCAAAATTGTAAAGGAGAAATTTTCCGGTAAAATACAGGGAGCCAAACCATCATGAAATTACTCTTGACTTGTCTTTATGACAATTTCAAATGACACCACTTTGGTCATCTGAGCACTGCCTCATCCTTTGAGTATTTCAGCAGCAAGCTTCCTGTTCTCTCCGTCCTGTCTCCCATTGGAATCCATAGGGCTGAGACCACCAACTCCGACCTCCTTGCCTCAACTTCTCCTCGCCAGCACGCCTTTCCTATGGTCGCCTCTGCTGTCCCTCCTATGGCCATGCCCAGTTCTTGCCATCAATAACTGCACCTCCCCCCAACACGCCATTTCGAGCACCTCCCTCCTGGAGCCACACTCCTCTCTCACTTGCTCTACAATGCCCACTCCAGTAATCCTCTGGCCACATGGAGACCCCCTCTGTTGTATTCACAGAACCTCTCTCCTAGCCTCTTCCCTCTCAATTCATCTGCCTCCTGCCTGTCCTTCAAACTTCATTCTCCTAGTAGCAGGACCATCCTCTAAAGGCACAATCAAATGACATCATTTCTACTACATAAAACCTCCAGTGACACTTTTCTTTTTGAATTGGGGTTTCCTCTGTCATCCAGGCTGGAGTATAGCAGCATGATCATGTCTCATCACAGCCTTGACCTCCTGGGCTCAAGAGATTCTTCTGCCATAGGCTCCCATTGGCTGACTGGGACTAGAGGTGCTTGCCACCGTGCCTGACGAATTTTTTTTTTTTTTGGTAGAGACGTGGTCTTGCTATGTTGTCCAGGGTGGTCAAACTTCTGGGCTCAAGCAGTCTCCCAGCCTCTGCCTCCCAGAGTCCTGAGATTATAGATGTGAGCCACCACATCCAGCCTCAGTGACACTTAATAGTAAGAAACAAGCTCATTTTATCATGGCCCTGAGTGGACCTAAGAGGCCTGGTTTGGTCCCACCTCTCTGACCTCATGCCCCACTCACTACCCTCCAGCCCACCAAACTTCTCTCTGTTTTTCAGATACACCATACTGATTCCTGCCTCTGGACCTTTGCACCTGCTGTCCCTCTTCCCTCAATCACTCCTCCCATCCCACCTGCTATATGGTATTCAAAATACCTTTCACTCCCTGGTAGTAGTTTATTAACTTATTGGATAGTGTGTTTACTGTGTGTTTATCTTCCCACTAAATTGTCAGTTCCTTGAAAGGAGAGACTGTATCCACAGGCATTCTAGTCCCTAAAAGAGCATCCAGCACATAGTAGGCAAACAGAATATTTGTTGAATGAATGAATGAGCAAAGGTGGAATTACCATGGTATTTTTTCTGCTTACACAATTAAAAACTTTTTTTCCCCCCAAGTATTGTTCCCCATATGGTCAACCAAATGGCTAGTGGCTTAATATTGTCTCCATAAAAATAAGTCCTATGTGCCAGGGACTATGCGACTTCCAGGGCATACAAAAATAAATTAAGCTCAGTTCTTGCCTTCCAACATTGTGTGATCTGGTAAGCTAAATAAGTGTGTAAGATGATAACAGTAATGGGATATATGAATAATAGAAACATGACAACACTCAACTCATCCTGAAGAGGTTAACTCTGGCTACATCAAGGAAGTGATATTTGAGTTGAATTTGGAAGGATGAGTAGGACTTTTCCAGGTGGAGCAAACAGAAAAGAAAATTATTCCAGACACGGAAAGGTAAAGGCACAAGGGCCAGAAAATATTAGGGAGCATTAAGACCACAATCGGTTAGCCAAAGTTGAGCCGTGGGACATGGGGGGCAGGAATGGTGGGAATTGTGATTCTTTTTTTTTTTTTTTAATCAATATTTTTTATTATGATATTGTGGGGTACAGTTAAGGGTTAGGTATACAATTACGTTTCATTCAGGCACCCTGTTGAAAAGAGGTGTTTCCCCGTCCCCAGACAGATATTTGCTACTGTTAATCTCACCTCCCTCCCCCCCCCACATAGTTTCCCAGTACCGTCAGTCATTTTCTTATAGTATTACATTGGATGTTCAAGGTCCATTATATGGGTGAGAACATGTAATACTTGGATCTTTGTTTCTGTGAGAGGTCACTCAGTATTATAGACTCTAGTTCCATCCAGGTTGCTGCGAAATTCATGATTTTGCTCTTTTTTATGGCTGCATAGTATTCCATCGTGTATATGTACCACATTTTTTTATCCAGTCCTCTTTTGATGGGCAGCATGGTTGCTTCTGATGAGAGAGGAGGGGCCCCATTGAGGAAGCCATGTTAGGAATTGGATTTATGCCTGCAAAGCAATGGGCTGGTTCTGAGAAAGGAGGTCATGTGATCAGATGTACCTAATAGAAAGATCAGCTTTCCTTTAGGTTTGTGGAGGGTGGGTTAGAAGGCCAAAAGACTGGCTTAGAGAGAGAAGCTGAACACTCAGAGGAGAGAAAGGGGCTGGCAGTCAAACCCAGAAGAATACTCACTTCTGAGTTGTCTTTCCTGGTCAGGAAAGAAGAGACGTCGGAGAAGCAGAATCCCAGAAACAAGGGGGAAAATAAATTTTTTTTTTTTGAGTCATAGTCTCATTCAGTCGCCCAGGCTGGAGTGCAGTGGCACACTCACAGCCACCCCAGCATCGACCTGCTGGGCTCAGGTGATCCTTCCCAGTAGCCGGAACTACAGGAGCATGCTAATTTTTTGGTTTATTGTAGAGATGAGGTCTCACCAACTTGCCTGGGCTGCTTCTGAATCTCTGGGCTCAGGCAATCCTCTTGCCTCGGCCTCCCAAAATGCTGGGATTATAGGCTTGAGGGGAAAAACATTTTAAGGCAGACAGTGACCAACACTGTCACAAGCAAGAGACAGACCCAGTAAATAAAGATGAGAAGACATCAAATGAATCTGGCAACTTGGGGCCAAGTATTGGGAGCCTTAACCAGAACAATTTCTGTGACGTTCACTCTGTCTAAGCAAGAGAAGAAGCTAGAAGGGAATTTAGAGTCAAAGAGTAAGTTTTGTTTTGTTTTTGTCTTTTTGTACGTGTGTGTGTGTGTGTGTGTGTGTGTGTGTGTGTGTGTTTTGTTCTTATTGTTTTGTTTGCTTGTTTGTTTGTTTGAGATGGGGTCTTTGTCCCCCAGGCTGTAATGCAGTGGCACAACCATGGCTTATCGCAGCCTTGACCTCCTGGGCTCAGGCGATCCTTCCACTTCAGCCTCTCAAGTACTTGAGACTACAGGTGTGTGCCACCACACCCAGCTAATTTTGTTGTTGTTGTTGTTGCTAAGAGACGAGGTCTCACTGTATTGCCTAGGCTGGTCTCAAATTCCTGGGCTCAAGTGAGTCTCCTGCCTCGGCCTCCCAGAGTGCTAGGGTTACAAGCATGAGCTACTGCACTCAGCCAGTTTATTTGTTTTTTAATGGGAGACATGTGGGTATATTTATGTCCAAGAAGAGTGTAGCTAGGGAATAAGAAGAACAAAAAGGAGGACGACTGAGGGAATGGGCAGCACAACATACAAAAAAAAATAACCCTTTTTCCTCTTTAAATTGGAAAAAAATGTTTATATAGATGTAGCTATAAATGCACAAATGGGGCTTGGGGGATGAGCCGGGGAATGGCAGCCAAAAATTGGGGAAATCATTTACAGTTACCATGCATAGTACCCCTCTCCAGAACCCAAATTCCAAACAAGTAGAAACATAAATAAAATAGTTAACATGGAGACTGAGGATGTTACCTCTTCCTGATACCGCTGTGTGGAAGGTGTGTCTTCAGGCCCCTTGGCCGAGTGGGGCTGCTCGTGGTCCCAGAAGGGTCAGCAGTGCCCACCCCAAGGGCAGCATGGGAAGGCTCAGAGGGAGGTCTGCCCGAAGCAGTTTTCACGGGGAGAAACACAGGAAATCTGGGGCTCTGCAGGGAGGAGGGAGGGCGGAGTCGAGCAGGGTTACTCTTCCCAAACTCATCAGGCCAGGTGAGGCTCATCCCTGTAATCCCAGCACTTTGGAAGGCTAAGGATTGAAGGAATTCAAGACCAGCCTGGGCAACATAGCGAGACCCCCATCTCTAAGAAAAAAATTACCAATCAAATCAACCACTCTCCCTCACAGGAACAGAGTGAGGAACAGGGGGAGAAGTCTGGAGTTTCACTAGTTGAGCTCCCTTCATAGGGAGGAAACTCCGAGAGTGCGGTTAGTTTGTATCTTATAAATAAAGAAAAATCTGTTTAGAGTCAGATGGGGTGAAGAAGGGAGATTTTATTGACTCAGGAATGATGACAGTGTTTAGAATCACTGCCTGGGTGACTAGGAAAGCAAATCTCTTTTTTTGTTTTTGAGTTGGAGTCTCACTTGGTCGCCCAGACTGGAGTGCAGTGGCCGCTCCCAGCCACCGCAGCCTCACCTGCTGTGCTCCGGTGATCCTTCTGAGTAGCCAGAATTACAGGCATGCGCTTCCACGCCCGGCTGATTTTTTGACTTATTGTAGAGATGAGTTCTCGCTGCCCAGGCGGGTCTCGAACTCGTGGGCTCAGGCAATCCACTCACCTCAGCCTCCCAAAGGCGCGGGATTACAGGCTGAGCCACCGAGCCCGGCATGAAAGCAAATCTCTTTTCAGCACTGAGGGCCCAGTCAAGGCTGGACATCATGGGTTTGTGGGAGCTCCCATTCACACAGCTATGTTATCCTTAGCTGAGATCATAGGTCTGTGGTTGGCTTGAAAACCAGGGGCGACCATGTACAAAATGAGTTTCAGGAAGGGAGTAGTCAACCACGTGACATGGAGCTGAGAGGTCAAATAAGATGAGAACTGAACGACATCCATTTGGTAACTCGGATGGCATTAAGGAAATTCTGTTTCAGTGGGGCAATGGGATAGAAATCAGACTGGAATAGGTCAAAATAGGGACTCGAAAATGAGAAAATAGAGATATAATCAACTTTCTTTTTTTGAACTATTTTCCTGTGAAGAGAACAGAAAAGAAGTGTAATATTGGGGAGATGCGTGGAGAGCAGAGGGTTTTGTTTGGTCTCGTTTGCTTTGTTTTTAGATCTGAAAAGGTAGCACTTGCATGAATGCTAGAGAAGCAATCAACAGAGAAGAAATAGTTGATGATGTGCAGAAGTAGATAAATACCTACTTCTAATACTTTACACTTGATCTGGCCTGAAATGTACTAAACTTCACAATGAGCAAGAATAGAGATAACCTTTTGTGTGCCTTAGGAAACAATGTTTTGTGTTCTTCTAAACTCAACTCATTTTTAATTTTTTTTTCGTTAGAATGCATCAGGGATTTATGCAGAAATAGATGGAGCCAAAAATGAACTACAAGGAAAACTATCTAACCTAAGTAACCTCAGTCATGATTTAGTCCGAGAAGCCATTGATCATGCACAGAACCTTCAGCAAGAAGCTGACGAGTTGAGCAGGTATTATTCTGATTATAGAAATGCAAATGTCTACATGGGCTGCATAAAATATTATTATTCAATTCAACATGCCAGTGTTACTGGGATACAGTTTTAGCAGTTTGGTTAAGGTTGGGTTTCCCTGTTTGTTGATTTGTTTGCTGGTCGGTCCATCTAAGAGTCAGTTATTGTTCACTGTAATTGTTTGGTGAAAACTTTTTTAAAAAATTATTTTAAATCTGTCATATTAGAAACCTGTGTTCTGGGCAGGGAGGGAGGTGTCTATGCCACAATTATTGATAGGGTGACAAAGGCATTTTGGTTAGGGTATAACTGCTGCATAAAATATTATCAAATGAATCAGATCCCTTTACAAGGTGTAATTCTACCATCACCTATTTATTTCATAGACAGCATTAGCTTTCTACACCCAAGTGTCTTAAGTAAAGCTGGTTGGGAGTTGACAAGATAACTGATTTCTGGTAAATACTCTCTTCACTTTGCAGTGCCCAGCAGGAACTGTTTGATTTCAACACCTGTTAAGAGAAAATCAATTGACAATTTTCCTCTCAGTGTCTAAAAAGAGTCATGTACCCCTTAGGCACTCAATTAATGTTAATTGAAATGTACTGAAAGAGTGGAATTGAATTCATGACCCTGAAATAATGGGTAAATAATGAGATCATTATAGAGAAAGACTACAAATTCAGCAGTTAGAAACAAGGACCAGTAAAGGTCATGAATGAAAGAAGAACCAATATTAACTTCTGCTCAAAATATAAATCACCTTTTTAGTTCTGATTGCCAAGGTTTTCAAATAGTCTTTCAAATCCCATGTGAAGAGACAGAGAGAGAGAGAGAGATCACTTAAAATCTTGGTGTGTGAGAGTTCTACATCCAGCTCGGTGTCATGACCTCGGAAAATGTGTCTCTGATGAAGGCAATACAGTGAAGGTTAAATACTGTTTTTGAAAATATACTACATAGGTAGAATATTGTTTTTGAGATCCATCCTATAGCTCTCTTCATCATTCTTTTGCAATTTTAATAACTATGCCCCTTTGATTGTGATCCCAATACATAACTTCTCTAAATGTCATTCTTCAACAAACATGATTCTAAAGACAATTACTATGTGCTTTCATGAAACAGGATCAGAAATATCCATCGCCCTGAAGTCCCTCTTGTGTTTAGAATATTTCTGACTGAATATATTCATGGAAAATCCAAATTTGTAGACATTTTCCCTTCAAAATTGTGAATGTCCTTCATCATCTGTCTGGTATACACAATGATTTGCATGCTATGGTCAAAGGTAGACATAATTCATTAAGAAGTTTCCATTTCAAAAACACATTTTTATTTTGACTGATGAGGAAGTTTTTTGCCTAGTAATAAAAATAAAGTTACCAAAGCATTTGTTTTAAGCTCTTTGATATATATTTTACCACTCTAGCCAGGAAAATTTTAAAATATTTATAAATATTTGTAATACCCTGTTTCTTTTATCCCTTTAAAAACCAAAACAAAAAAAAACCAAACTTCTTTTTTAATCTACCTTCCTGGGATTTCATTCTCTAAGTCATTTCTAAGAAGAAGGGATTGTGAGAAAGAACAGGTAGCAAGTATTTGGGTTAGAAACACTTCTACGAACAGAGCTGTGTTGTGATGTGTGTGGGCCTAGCCTCCTTTTCATTAAAAATTTTATTTCCTGGCTGCATTAGTATAAAGATTCACAAAATCATCCTTATTATCCTCATTTTTCTTCTGATTTAAAAAAATGAAAACATTTCTACAGGCCCCTGCAGTGTCTAATGGGTTAGTCAGCCCTGTGGCAGCAGAGACAGAATGATGGTGAGCTTGACAAGAGAGAGTCAAGTGGCTGCGGAAGTATAGGGGATGTTGCTCTGAGCCCAAGGGGGCATGCAGGGCCTGGAGCCGGGTGGAGGAGGCTGAGAAACAGCTGACTGAGCTCAGTAGGTCAGGCAGTTGGTTGAGGAAACTGCACTGTCATGTGGGTCACAAGAGCCTTCCAGAAGCGATGGATAAATGAGGTGATGCTAGTCATCTATGTGTGGGACTGAGCAAAAAAGCAAGGAACTGGTGGGTTTAAACTATATACAATGAAGACAAAGGATTTAGATGACTGTGGAAATGGAAGAAGAGTTTATATTATAGAGGAAGCAAAAGTATTCATCAATAAAATAAATTGTGTGGATACATGTATTTTGAAACCTCAATTCAGGAAATAGCATAGGTGTAATAATAAACCTCAACATTCACTGGATGCTAGGCATAGTATACCAGGCATTTACATATTGTATCCCTGATAGACCTGACCTAAGTCCTCAGCAGCACACACCGTCATTAGGCCCTGCGTGTGAGACAGTGCCTGACGGGTACTCAGCAAACGTTCCGTGAACTTCACACAGGCAGAAGGGGCAAAGGCAGAGACCTTGGTGCAGAAGAGCAGGGGTAAAGGTCGGCTGAGGTGGGCATGTGCTTACAGGATGTACCTGGCGTTATGAGAGAAACAGACCTTAACAGTGTGTGCCCTGACTGAACTGAAAACCCTCTCTTAGAGCCTCTTTTATGGAAAGGATCCAGCCATGCTGATTTGGATAAGTGAATACAATGGGTGTACTCCTCTGCCTGCCAGCCATCACACAAACTCTTACTCAAAGAGGTGCAGAGGGCTTTTTAAGTCTTTTTTCCCTTTTCCTATGGCTGCTGCCAGGGAAGCAGCTGTCATGGAGCTAAAATGGGGTGAAGCCTCAGGGGCAGGAAAGGCCAAGAAAGGAAAAGAAGATGTGACCCTTAGGAAGGGGAGCTTAGGAAAACCTTACCAAGACAGGTGACTTCAAGTAACAAGAAGGACACATCTGTGACCCTGGAAGTATTAAGATCACGCCCTAAAAATGTCTCCATCTCCCAAGGAGGTAAGAAGAAGAAATAACAAGTTTGATTGTTGACAGGAATTTGCACAGTTCAGATATGAATGGGCTGGTACAGAAGGCCTTGGATGCGTCAAATGTCTATGAAAATATCGTCAATTATGTAAGTGAAGCCAATGAAACGGCAGAATTTGCTCTGAACATCACTGACCGAATTTACGATGTGAGTATTATCTTGTTTTAAGGTTTATTTATATGTTGCCTTTTCCCACCTTATGACTTTTATATTTTCTGATGTCATCTCTTGAGTGCCCAGTATAAAATACGAAAGGCAGAAATGGGTACAGGAACTAAGGAAAGACCATATATCTGTAAGTTCTTCAAGATGCGCTGTCGCATCAGCAAATGCCAGTTCCCTTGACAGCTTTTTTTAGCCAAAGTTCCTGAAAGAAAAACATATTTAAGCCTAGTTCCTGCTTATATAGAAGATGCCTTATGCATGACTTCAGATTTTTTTCAACTTAGATTTATTTTTTTGAGTAGCTTCTATGTGACCAGAACTTTGGTGGGGCGTTGGCCAGGGTACTGTTCTAGGCCTCCTGAATTTTTCTGAAAAACCGTATGTCTTGAAAATGCCAAAGACATTATTTTCCTCGTGGTAACATTTACATTTTACCTTGATTTTGGGCTATGCAAATGAAGCTGTATGAATTTTGCTTGATGTTTAGAATAGGCATTTTGATCATCATTTAAATTTAAAGCATGAAAAGCTGATTTGTTCTACTGTCATTTTTACTCTCTCCACCCAATTCCTTTGTAGGCTGTGAGTGGAATTGATACTCAAATCATTTACCATAAAGATGAAAGCGAGAACCTTCTCAATCAAGCCAGAGAACTGCAAGCAAAGGCAGATTCTAGTAAATATCTTCACTTTCCTATCTTCTTTCTGATTTGTAACTGCTTTCCTCCTTTTGTACATATAGACAGAGAGTTCCAAAATCTAGGATTAAAGAATAAATAATATTACAACCAAATAGTGTAGCAATAGTCCCTACTCAGAGTCAAGGTATTAAAAAAAAGTTTTGATATTTTGAAATAAATTATCATTTTTTTAAACACCTCCCATGTGGTAAAACTATGTGAGAACATATAGTTATCTAACATATGATGGCTATTCTTGCTAATCCAATGTGTTAGTTAGTAGAAACTTGCCATAAATACCAATTTTTAAGGAAAAAATACCATAAAATACACTTAACACTACAACTCTATTATAGCACATAATTTCTTCTTGAACATTTCAGAGGGCCCTTTAAAATGTTTACCTCGAAGGAATAGGCTATCACTGTGAGCATCAGTTAGGATGAGAGCCAGGAAAGCCATCTGGGTATTTGCACTTTCTTATAGTTTGTGTTCTACACAAGTTACTGTATTTAGGACAAACCTAATGACCATATGGAAAGAAACACTTCCAAAGGCCAGTGTTTGCATCTGCTAAAGCAAACACATCAAAGACAGAGAGAGAAGAGGAAAGATAAAAGTGAAATCTCGCTCGTTTTGAATCTTGTGAGTTACTCTTACAGACAATTGAATGTACTAAGAATTTCATTAAACATTACTCATCTCTGAGGTAGTGAACTCATTCCTAAGGATCGTTGAGCATTGACTAAGGAGGTTGGAAATTAATTATCTAGCTAACTTCCAACTATGTAAACAAAAAAAAAAGGCCAAGTTTGAAACTAAAAACATCACTAATTTTATCAAAGCAATTAATCTCGTCTATTATGATTTTTCTTTATTTTTCTTTTGCAAAGAGCCACTACATAAAGAAAATAAAGCACTTTGTTTTTTATATGCAGAATACTTAATAATTTAATTGCCATAAAGCAACTGTTATTTTCTTTTTCTGGGTAAACAGAGGCAATAAAAGTAATGAAGTTTCTCTATTTTAATTAAAATATAAGTCTAATTAATTTATCATATAAGCCTAGTCGTGAACATACTCTTTGGAAAATAATTGGAATATTAGCAGTAAATAATTAGAATAATAACAGTAAAAATATTTTAAAATAATGTTGCTATATCTATGTATTGCTTTAGCTTCCTGTGTTGTGAAGAACAGAGTATGTCAATCTTCATGATGCAATAACATGCGTATTTTACTCTTCTTGATAATTTGTAATATATTTTCTCAATCCTTTCATTACTGAGTTATTGAACCTCATAAAAGCAACTTTTTTATTCTGGGAATGGTATCCCTTCAAAGCTCCATATTTTACATCCAGTGAATCTCTCTGCATCAGCCTCTGGTTATTTTGCAGATCTGATCCCTTATTTCATGACCTTGTTTGGTTAAATCTCCTTATATATTTATTTGCAAAAGGGACAGCAATGGGAAATGAGGGCTGTGTAGTAGCTTGGACCTTTATAGAACTATCTTCCTTGGTAATACACATGTTTGTGATACAAAATTAAACCATAGTCATAGTTAAGTTACAATTTCATTTCAGACTATGGTTTCTTCGTTTCCAAATGACTTTCAATGATCAGTAATTTTTATTTCCCAGTTTTCCTCTTCTTCATTATCTATATCAGAGAATTAACAATCTATCATAATCTCAGGAGGCTGCTATTTAAAGGAATTTTCATTTATGAAATGAAAAAAATGTTTATATAAGACTATAAGTTTCAAATAGGACATACTTTTTATGAAACAATAGGAAAAACAAAATAGATTTTCTTTCTCCTATTTTTATCAAAAACTCTACATATAGAGAGTTAAATATATTCTTTCTCAGTCTATCAGTCAGTGCTGTTTTTGTCTTTGTTTTTGCAGTCACAAGATCCAAAAATAGAGCTAAAACATTTTTGTATCACAGTATTTGAAAATTGAAACAAGATGGGGAGAGAGAGGGTGCCAGGTAACTAAAAAGCATATTTAAGTCTCTCTGAATTCTGGGAAATTCTCTGCACTCCCCAGAAAGCATAAGAAAGAAGTGCTTGTATTTGGTTCTACTATACTTGGTGACAGCATCAGCTAGGCACCGTCCATTATATACACGTGTATGGGGAGGAGGAAGATACAATAAACCAAGCACATCAAGGACGTGTCATGGAAAAGATAAATTGCACCATAGGAGAGTATATATTTACAAGCCCATTGGTGAGAAAGAGGAAAGTGTCATGAGAAACGATGAAACTGTTTTGCTATTCGTCAAGAAGCAGAAGATTCCTGATGCTTCAGAAGTAAACAAACCACAAACAGAAACAAAAAATTACTGGCAAAGCCAACCCTTCAGTTCAGACAAAGAGATAATTATGTCAAGACCTCTTGGGATTTACTCAAACATAACCCAAGAAAACCTCAATCTAGGGACTGTGTGTGCCCCAAGCCCCCTCTCCAGTACAAGTTTGGAAGAAAAAGACTATTTCTCAAAACAGATACAAAAAGAATAGAAAGTCTTGATAGAACTGTATGGACATACATATGTGTAACAAATTTAACCATTAATTAAACCCTTCCCACAAAGAAAGCTCAGGGCTCAGATGGTTTTCCCAATGAATTCTTCCAAACCTGGAAGAAATAACACCATCCTTACACAAACCCTTCCAGATACTAGAAAACGAGAACACATTCTCCAACTTGTTTTATGAAGCTAACAAAACTTAGATACCAAAGCCAGATAAGGACATTGTTAAAAAAGGAAAAGTATAAGTCAAATTCTCTTAGCAACAGAGATCCAAAAATCCTAATCAAAATATTAGCAATCAAATCTAAGCACATGTAGAAATAGTAGTATGTGATGACCAACTTGAGTTTATTTCAGGATTTCAAGGATAGTTAAACACTTAAAATGAATGTAATTCACCACATTTACAGAATGTAGGAGAAATTCATATGAACATCTCATTCCATGCAGAAAAATCATTTAACAAAACTGAATACCCATTTAGGACTTCAAAAAAATAACACTTAGCAAACGAGGAATAAAAGGAAACTTCCATGATCTGATAAAGAATAATTAAATAATATTTAGCAAATATATTAATACTGAAATATTGAAAGCTTTCCCACTAAGATTAGAAACAAGACAAGCATATCCCACATTCCCAATTTAATGTGTAAAATCCAGTTAAATTTTTAAACAATGGGAAATTAACTTTTAAAAATAACAGCATTTTCAGTAGCATCAAATACATAAGAATAAATCTGATGAAAGACACTAAGATTGCTAAACATAAAGATCTAAATAAATGGAGATCTAAATAAAAATATAGATCTGAAGAAGAATAACGAATGCCATACTCACTGAGTGGAAGACTCAAATTTGTAATAATGACAATTCTCCTAAATTTATCTATGGAATCACTACAGTATCAAAGTACCAGAACTGTATACATATATACAGAAAGATTCTAGAATTTCCATAGAAATTTGGAGAAACGTCAAAAATAGCTAAAACAATCCTAAAGAATAAAAACAAAGTTGGAAGACAAACTATGATATCAAGATTTATAACTCTTCAGAGATTAAGACAAAGATATAAAAAATAGCAACGCTGTATTATCTCTTTTGACCAATGTTTAAAATAGACACAACAAATAGATGGAACTAGAATTCAGAATAGTGATCACCTTTGGGTAATCACAGGGAGCTTTGAGGGGGCTATCAAGTTTCTATACTCTTGACCTGAATGTTGGTTATATTTTGTGTTCACTTTGTGAACATTTGTCAAGTTGTGCATTTATATAATTGGTGCCTTTTCCAGATGTAGGCTATATATCAATTAAAATTGTATTGATACAATTAAGAAAAAATAATTATTCTTATATAACTAGACATCATATAGACAGATAGATAATGGATGGATGGATAGACAGATAGATTGATTTTTTCTCAGCTGTTTATCAATTGTGCTGTTTGGTGTTATTTGTCACAGCAGTGCTAAATGTTTCAAAGAAATTAGTCATTATGTCATCCTAAGTCACTTCCAAGTTTTCTGCAACACTATACCTTTAATTTTAAGTGTCACTTTCCAGAATGTGTGATCTGTGTTCAGAGTATTCAGAATACTGCAGATGACTCCATCATACAAATCTGAAGTTTCCTCGTTGAAAGGGAAACTTTTTGTTGAGGTATCTTGGTCTCACTGGCATTTTTTCCTCTTCTCCACAGGCAATGATGAGGCGGTGGGTGACACCAGCAAGCGTGTAGGAGGAGCCCTGGGGAGGAAAGGTGCCCTTAAAAACAGACTAAATGATGCTGTTAAGCAGCTGCAAGCAGCAGAGAGAGGTACGGATCACAGAGGGTACTTCAGCTAAACCCTGAGGAAGAACTAGAAGATTTCTTGTCAATCTTTTTATAAGTAAATAATTTTTTTTTGGATGACGAAGGAACCTATGTTCATCACCCAAAAAATTGTCCTAGAAAATAAAAAAAAGAAAATGAATATAAAATCTGTGACCACACCACCTACAGGTTACCTGTAGGTTTGAGAGCATTTTTTTCCCAATATTTCGTGTGTGTGTGTGTGTGTGTGTGTGTGTGTGTGTGTGTGTGTGTGTGTTTATGGGATTGCATTGCTTACACTGCTTGGTAACTGGGAACAGCTTTCTTGTGAATATCCCTCCTCATTAACAATATGCCCTAACTTGGTTATCGGATTTATTTGGCCCCAACTGTAAACAGCTTTCTTCTGTTACATGTCGAGTCATTCTTATCATATAAGCAATGAACCCAAATAGAGACCAGGAAGACCCACAAACCCAAATAGAGATTCAAAGGCACTCATCTGGCTTCATCTGGTACTGCAGTGATATCTTGGAAAGATGTGTTTGGAAGCAGATGCGCCTTCCTCAGCACAGTGGACATTAAAACACCACTGCTGCATATAGGTGTCTCACTAACTTGAGCGAAGTCTAGTTACTGTTCTCCAAGTACATCAAAGCTCTGGCCAGGAGAGGGACTGTTCACTGAGAAGTCTTGTCGTCAGCAACATCAGAGCTACTGTTTATTGCTGCTTATCATGTGCTGGGCGCAGTGCTAAGTATTCAACACACCTTATCTCATGGGGGACAAATGTCACTGTTGCCTTTAGGCTTATACGCCCTGAGGCTCACAAGGTTAGGGAACTCGCTCCACCAGCAAGCACAGCTAACAAGAAGCAGATTCAGGATTCAAACCAGTATTCACCAGAATCCAGAGCATGTGAGGTTTCCTCACTTTAAACATTTGGAGATACAGCATCTCCTGTGTGATTTTTAATTTTTTTCTTTATTTTAAAGATGCAAGGTACAATTCAGGGTTAGGTCTACAAATGTTCATTATGCAGGTACCCTTGTTGAGGAGGTATTCCCCCTCCTCCCCTGGCAGTTCCCCTCAACTGCCAATCCTGCCCCCCACCTCCCTTGGCAGTTTCTTACTACTGCCAATCCCTTTCTTATAGTATGATAATTGTTCAAGGTCCGCTTATGAGTGAGAATATATGGTACTCTGTTTTTTGTTTTTATGATAGATCACTGAGTCTGATCGACTCTAATCCATCCAAGTTGCTGCAAAGTCCATATGTTTGTCCTTCTTTATGGCTGCATGATATTTCATTGTGTATATGTACCACTGTTTTTTTTGTCCAGTCCAATTTGATGGGCAGCATGGTTGGTTCCATGTTTTTGCTATTGTGAATAGAGCTTCAACAAACCTGCATGTACAGGCATCTTTTTGGTAGAATGACTTGAGTTCCCCCAGGCATATTCCCAATAGGGGTATTTCTGGGTCATATGGAAGGTTAATTTTTAGTTCTTTCAGAAATCGCCACTCTAATTATTTTCATGATAGAAGTAATACATGGTCCTTATAGAAACAATAGAAAAATACAGATTAAAAAAGAGAGAGAAGAAAAAGCACCTATGATCCCATAGTCTAGACAAGGTTTTTTGTTATAAGCCTACATTATTTTATTTACATATATAATTTTAATAAAAATGGAATTTCACAAATTATACTCTTTTGAAACTTGCTTTTGTTATTTAAAATGCATTTATTTATAGATCGACTTCTGTGTTATAGCATCATTTTCATGGCAAAAGTGTTCCACAAGACTACTTTTTCCTAAAAGAAAAAGATATTTGCAGTAAAATGCATCACAAACCTCTTACGAGTTAAAATCTTATATACATTGTATATGTTGAGAAACCAGGTCTTTAACATGAGGAAATATTATTACTCTTTTTTGTTTTAAATTTACTTCTTAATTTGAAAATGTTTTAGGTGAGTTACATAGTTTTAATGAGGCTTTAGGGCCTTTCAAACCCACTTATTAATATTGCTGAGATATTCTCGTGAACCTAATCTATACCATCATTAACTCTGTGTTAAGATCTTAGTTTTGCTTTAAAGCCCAGAAGTTGAGGTCTGTTTCATCTCAGTGATTAAAGGGATGTGAATGTTCCCTAATGTCTCACTTCTCTGCAAAGTGAGTGACCCTGTGCTCTGTGTGAAGGTGACGCGCAGCAGCGCCTGGGTCAGTCCAAGCTGCTCACCGCAGAGGCCAACAAGACAACAATGGCGGTGCAGCAGGCCGCCGCCCCGATGATCCACAGTCTCACCAACTGGTCACAGAATCTCCAAAACTTTGACTCTTCGGCTTACAACACTGCAGTGGACTCCGCGAGAGATGCAGGTATCACTTAGAAACTTCACAGTTTGAACTCAGTTGAGGAACCTGTCATTAAAGTCTACACATCTTTTGTTAAGAAACAGTTTTCTTCCTTTGGGTTTCGGATTGAAATATTGTAGAAGTTAGCTTAGGAAAAAAAGAAAGAAAAAATGCATAGTTTATCAATCTATATGCCTGTGTGTATGCACATGAAATATATATGTATATACATTTCATGTAAACACTAGATAGAGTGGCAAGGAGTCATCATTTTTTCTATGTGAAATATATGGTAACAATAGTATCAATGAAAGACTGATCTTTTAGGAAAGAAGATCAATCAAATGTCAGGGTAGATACCCTTAACATAATATTGCTTGGCTTTTAGGGAAAAATTTACTACATAGCATTGCTTTTACTAAGTACACTGCGTTTTCTTTACCAGAGTGAAGCAAGTTATCACCAACAAGTACTGAATATGGTCAAACATAAATTAAGTTTTCTATCAAGAATAGTGCATTGGTCAACTTTATAGCAACAAAAATAAAATACTATACCTAATTTATTTAGTTACATATAGGTATTAAGAGTATGTAACACTTGAGAAATTCCCTTTTATCCATTCTCACAGTTTTATTCAATCTTTTGACCTCTTAAATCAGTGTTTCTCAATATCATGACAAATCATGACTAGAACTTTTATTGCTCTAATATTGTTTTTGCACAAAATATTATCTTTGCTTGCATCTGAATTAAGAAACAACTTCACAAGTCCATATATGATCATCCTGTCACTAGACATTTTATTCCAATTTGTAAATGCCCATTTCTGTAACAGTAAAATAGGTCTTTTGTATTCATCTTTTAAGTATATGTTCGTGAATTCTTTCATGTAGTCACTCAATTAAATACTTTCAAATTTTTATCTTTAAAATATCTTATCTTTTGTCTACATGATAGCCAACATTTGCATTTAAAAAGATATTGCCTCAGAGATATTTACTAAATCTGTGTTAAATGTTTTTTCCTTTTTTCACCAGGCATATCAAGTGATTCTAATGTGCATCCAGAACTAGCACTAATTGAAATTGTTTTAGGCTACTGTGTTTTCCTCAAATTGCATTTGTGGTTCAAAACAAAGTAAATGAAAGCACATACAAGAATATAAAAACCTTTATAAAAACTCTGATATAGGGTGGCTCCCTTTTTCTGAGAGAATGGGGAAGGGAGTACTCTGTCTTATATACATTTCCATAATCAGAATTAGTAGTAGTAGTAGTAGTAGTAGTAGTAGTAGTAGTAGTAGTAGTAAAGTCGAGGTCTTGTATATTGCCCAGGCTGGTCTCGAACCCTTGGGCTCAAACAATTCTCTCGCCTCAGCCTCCCACAGTGCTGGGAATACAGGTATGGCCTGCCTCCAATAACAAAACTTGATGTAATTCTTTAAATATACTTTATTCCCTCTAGTTTTTAAAAACTATTATACTATCAATGGCTACTGAGGTCAGTGATCCCAACAACAAACCTTTGTACTAATTAATACAAAAACTGATAGTTGCTATTATTTTACTTATTTATTTTCCTTGTGCTGGAGAAGCATCTTCTTTCCTAAGTACAGAGAAGAGACATTTCCTTGATCTACATTGACATAGTTTCCTGAATCTTAGCTTAGTTTGTCTTCAGTAAGAGGCCTGCTCTTTCCCAGCTACTAATGCTCAGTGACCATGGCCCTGCCCTTGGGAAAGAAAATAATTTTAAAATGTTCACTCTCTAGTCCAGTGGTTCCCAAAACTAGTGTGCATCCGAATCGCCTGGAGAGCTTGTTAAGCACAGATTGCTAAACTCCAATCCCAGAATTTCTGATTCAGTAGATTTGAGACGGTGCCAAAGAACTTGCATTTCTGACAGGTTCCTTGGTGATGCCAGTTCTGTTTGTCTGGGGACCACACTTTAAGAATCACCATTCAGACAATGAAACGTTGGAAAAAGTTACACCGTTCTGTGTTCTGTGTTTCTCTTGTCAAGCTGTATCCTTATGACTTGTGTTCTTTTCTATGTATACATCGTGCATTAAACAGGAAAAAACAACAACAACAACATAAGAAGTAGGTCAGTGGCAGCCCCGGGGGAACTGCAAGAGGCTGAGTGGAGTGTGTGCCCTACCTGCCGCCCCCCCCAGTCACTTTCTCTTTTGCTGTTTCTCCCACCTCCCAACACCCAGTGTTTGTTTTGTTCTCCAGCAGAAGGTCCAGAGCAAAAAAAAAAAAAAAATTCACAGTGATCTGCTTGGAGCGTCACCCTTCTCGGGGTCCACAGATCATGGCTGCCCACTCCTGCCTTGGCACAACTGCCACTCTTCTGGGCACTGCCTGGTTGTCTCCATCTAGCACTGCCTCTGCTGGGCAGTAGCAGCAGAAGGTGGTATGTGCATGTGCCTTTTGGAAAGCAGCCTTTCCACCTGCTTTTACCCAACATTCCTTTTTTTTCCATGTTTATTTTAGGTTCGAGAGGACTTGTGCATGTTTGTTACATGGACATATTATGTGGTGGTGGGGACTGGGTCTGAAGTGGCCCATTCCCAAGATAGTGAACATTGCACCCAACAGGCAATTTCTGAACCTTAATCTCCCTCTCTACATCTCTCCTTATTGGTGTCCCTAATGTCTGTTATTTCCATCTTTGTGACCATTCAGCTCCTACATGTAAGTGAGAACATGAGGAGTTTGGTTTTCTGTTTCTGAGTCTGTTCACTTAGGGTGATGATACCCAGCTCCATCCATGTGGCTGCAGAGGAAATGATTTCATTCTGTTTTATGGTTGTGTAGTATTCCATGGTATATATATACTACATTTTCTTTATCCAGTCAGTCGTGGATGGACACCTAAGTTGGTTCCATGATTTTTGCTATTGTGAATGGTGCTGCAGTACACATGTGAATACAGGTATCTTTTTTTATATATTGATTTTTTTTCCTCTGGGTAGATCTCCAGTAGTTATTAAAAATGCAGGCAGAGCCTGTGTTATATGGTCAAAAGAACATCTGTATATTTGCCAGGAACCCTGTCCTTTAGGAATGTACATTATAAGTTAGCATGTTCCACACAGTTTATGACTCAACATGTACTGTAAATGTCACAAAATAGAAACCAAGTATGCCTTAGGCTTTACTATTAATTTTGCAGAATTACACATTCCTTGTAGTTCTACCCTATGCAATCACATGTCTGCTGTCTCCACTTCTAACTCCCGGCCCATTCTTGGTGTGGAGCTATTTACTCGGATGATTCATGTTTCATCACTGCAGTAAAGAATCTGACAGAGGTCATGCCTCAGCTCCTGCATCAGCTCCGCACAGTCGAGCAGAAGCGGCCTGCAAGCAATGTGTCTGCCAGCATCCAGAGGATCCGAGAGCTCATCGCTCAGACCAGAAGCGTCGCCAGCAAGGTACATGATGGAAGGAGCCATCAGCCACTCAGCGAGCGTGAGAACACAGGGCAGCTCCCAGAGCCTGGGACCTTTTTTTTTTTTTTGAGTTGGAGTCTCACTCTGTCGCCCAGACTGGAGTGCAGTGGCACGCTCCCGGGCCACCGCAGCCTCAACTTGCTGGGCTCTGGTGATCCTTCCTCCTCAGTCTTCCAAGTAGCCAGAGCTACAGGTGTACGCTACCACGCCCGGCTCATTTTTGATTTATTGTAGAGACGAGGTCTCACCAAGTTGCCTGGGTGTGTCTCAAACCCGTGGGTTCTGGCAGTCCACACATCTCGGCCTCCTAAAGTGCTGGGATTACAGACTGAGCCACCGAGCCCGGCCGAACTTGGGAATTTTTAAATAGATTATCCAACTCAGGCGGTCTCAACCCTGCCGGCTCATAGCAATCATACGAGGAACTTTGAAAACTGGACTGAGTTCTGGTCTCAGCCTCAAAGCAGGAAGGGCTCAGTACAGGAAATCTCCAACATACAAATGAGTTCAGTTCCAAGAGCACATTTGTAAGTCCAATTTATTTTAAGTCCAACAAAGTTTGCCTAGGCACCCAACTAACACAATCAGTTATAGAGTACTGTATGTATTTAATGGGCTATACTGACACGTGATGGAGAGAAACAATATATTAAAAAATGCAAGTGTGCATCATTAAAGTTCATAATTTGAAAGTTCGTATGTAGGGGACTTACTGTATACTTGTGTTTTTTTAAGGGTTCCATTATTCTAATGTGTAGCCAGAATTACAAACCACAGAGTCAACCTAGTCAACAAAGCTAACATAGCAAAAGAAATCAAGTAAAGTCCCAATAAAATTTTCAATTCATTATTATTATTTTTTGTTATTTTAACAACTGTTTTAGTACAATTACTATATGGAATCACCTGTTCCACTGCTTCAAGAATTCTCTGATAACATAGAGATTATGTGAGGCTTTTATTGACCACACTCAGGCTTGACTGAAGAAACACAAGCCAACTAAGCTGAATAAACTTGACAAAGACCTTATTCTGAAACACTTATACAGAAGCAACCTAGCAGCAAGATAACTAGAGCCAGTATTAGCAGGAGCATATCCTGACACAACAATTACCATTTTCAGCATGGCAAAGCAGGACCTGTTCTTGAATCTCTTTTTAACTTTTTTTTATTTTTCTATAGCCAAATTATAGTATAGGGTTTAATTTTCCTAACTAAAAATTGGCCTGAACAGATCATTGGCCCTAACTACTGACAGAAAAAAAGAGTAAAAGAGAGATCAACTCTTTTATCATGAAGGAGATTATTCTTGGTAAATTACCCAACTTTTAAATGATGTATGATGAATGGTACCTTATGACAAATTACCTTATTTAGATGCCCCAATGCACATTTTCAAAAAAAGTTTCATCTTAAAGGTACATTGAGAAATGGCATTCTAAAAACCAGGTTTCTGTGAGTGTTTTCTTGCAATATTATTTATATTGAGTATAAAGGTGGGGTCTGTATTACCTAAAGCCATTTTCCTGAGACTGCCTTGGGGAGTTGGGGGCTCTCTCAGTTCCCCCAAGTGAGATACTTTTTGTGCAGGCATACAGCCTTCTCAGCCTCTCAATTTTTCCCTGCAAGACTTTAATCCCACAGACTACTTGATAGTTTATGAAGACGGATTAGTCTTTACTCAACCAGCAATACAGGCAGCTGGATTGCAGGCACCTGGGAATAGAATCTTGAGCTCACTGACCATGCACATTATCCAAATCAATATTAATTAACTGATGTGAAAACATCCAATCATTCAGAAATATTTGAATAAATGGCATGAGCATCCACGTCTGTAAATTCTGAATGCTCTAAAAATCACCCGGGAGTCAGGCCAGTTCCACATATCATTTCGGGCCCCTTAGAAATGTGTTTACTTAATGGTCCTTTGTTGTTTTTGTTTTGTTTTGGGGTTTTTTTGAGTTGGAGTTTCACTCTGTCACCCAGACTGGAGTGCAGTGGCATGCTCCCGGCCACCGCAGCCTCAACCTGCCTTCCTGTGAATTGGTGTGAAACACTTTCATGAACTTGCCGTTCCAGTTACTATACGAATAGAGTCAGGCCCTGGAAAGCACTTTATAGTTATCACCTTATTTCATCCTCACAGCCAATACATTTGTCCTTATTCTGCAGATGAGGAAACCAAAGGTGAAGTGACTCGCTCAAGGTTATATAGCTAGTAAAGGGCAGAGCCAGGTTTCAAAACCTGATCACAGACTGCAAAGCTGTGTCTACACCCCTCCTGGCTGTACAGATGTGGTCAAGAATGTAGCCTCTCTCCATGTTTCTCCTATGAGGACCCTATGGAGAAAACCCACGCTGTCTTTGGAGCCCAAGATTAGTTATCCTTCTCCTCAATGATTCGTTTTTGGATAAATGTCATGAACTTTGTGAACTGTATAACTGACCGGTTCTCCCTTCAACGTGTTTAGTTCACCCAAACCAAGTATACGCTGATACATAACTTGGTAGCGTTTTTCACTTGCCCATGGAACGCAAGTGTCACACCATGCTAACTGGTCACAGTTCATCACATTTGCCAACTCTCGGGTTAACTGACGTGGATCATCATGGATGAAAGCATCTAAATGGTCTTCCTCAATGCCCAATGGTCTTCCTGAACGTGGAGACTCACTCAGGTCAAACTGGCCCTCTTTGAATGGTCTTCCTCAATGGTCTTCCTCAATGCCCAATGGCCCTCCTCAATGCCCAACTGGCCCTCTTTGAATGGTCTTCCTCAATGGTCTTCCTCAATGCCCAATGGTCTTCCTCAATGCCCAACTGGCCCTCTTTGAATGATCTTCCTCAATGGTCTTCCTCAATGCCCAATTGTCTTCCTCAATGCCCAACTGGCCCTCTTTGAATGGTCTTCCTCAATGGTCTTCCTCAATGCCCAATGGTCTTCCTCAATGCCCAATTGGCCCTCTTTGAATGGTCTTCCTCAATGGTCTTCCTCAATGCCCAATGGCCCTCCTCAATGCCCAACTGGCCCTCTTTGAATGGGCTTCCTCAATGGTCTTCCTCAATGCCCAATGGTCTTCCTCAATGCCCAACTGGCCCTCTTTGAATGGTCTTCCTCAATGGTCTTCCTCAATACCAAATGGCCCTCCTCAATGCCCAACTGGCCCTCTTTGAATGGGCTTCCTCAATGGTCTTCCTCAATGCCCAATGGTCTTCCTCAATGCCCAACTGGCCCTCTTTGAATGGTCTTCCTCAATGGTCTTCCTCAATGCCCAATGGCCCTCCTCAATGCCCAACTGGCCCTCTTTGAATGGTCTTCCTCAATGGTCTTCCTCAATGCCCAATGGTCTTCCTGAATGTGGAGACTCACTCAGGTCAAACTGGCCCTCTTTGAAACGACAGAGCCGTTTTCTTGCCATGCTGTCCCCAATGGCATTCTCCCTGGACTCGGACAAATGTCTCAAGCTGCCCCTGCTGCCTTGACTCCTCTGTGAAACTCAAACAGAAGAGCATGTCGGAGTGCTTGCTTTTTTTCCACTTGACACTCCATCTTCTTTAGCCCACAAATAGCACTGACTTTCTTCAAATCTTCAAAATTCAAGGCGTCTTCATAAGCACAGCATTGCCACTCCAAATGACAAACAATAAACTCCCAACAGCACAGGGTTGCAATGCCAAAAACAAACGCTGCAAACTTATGCATCAGCCTAATAGTTCATGGTGAAATTTATGTCTATCCTCACCTCGAGTCTACTTTGTTACCACCTTTTTCACCTTTACCCCATTTTAAATTTAAACTACTGTATTATAATCTGCCTCAAATCTTCTCTCCAGAATGGTGAGGACAACAGGAAATAAGTAAAGGTCTGGAGGAATGCAGAGCTCTGAGGTCCCAGTCAGGAATGAGGAAAGGCCAGAAAGCCAGGGGAAATCACACTGCTCATCTCCACAAAGCACTTGTAATGGAATGACTTTGTAACTCTAGATCCAAGTTTCCATGATGTTTGATGGCCAGTCAGCCGTTGAAGTGCACCCCAGAACCAGTGTGGACGATTTGAAGGCGTTCACCTCTCTGAGTCTGTACATGAAGCCTCCAGTAAAGCAACCAGAAGCGGCTGGTACTGCAGACCAGTTTATCCTGTATCTTGGAAGCAAAAACGTAAGAATGGAAGATTTTATTTATTTATTTATTTACTTACTTATTTATCTATTTTGAGTTGGAATCTCACTCTGTCCAGGCTGGAGGGCAGTGGCATGCTTACAGCCACCACAGTCTCTACCTGTTGGGTTCAGGCGATCCTTCCGCCTCAGCTTTCCAAGTAGCTGGAACTACAGGTGCATGCCACCACACCCAACTAATTATTTGATTTGTTGTAAAGACAAGAGCTCACCAAGTTGCCCAGGCTGGTCTCAAATTCCTGGACTCAGGTAACCCTCTCACCTCAGCCTCCAAAGTGCTGGGATTAATCAGCCTTAAGAATAGGAGGTTTTTTAAAAGTGGATAATATTTAAAAAGGAAAACTGCTTTTTTTCTTGCCTAAAATAAAGCTTCCTAAGCAAACAAACAAAATGCTCATCCTGGTAATTCAAAAGCTATCAATGATTTTAGTGGTAAGATTAAAGGAGTGACTTAAGGACAAGCAATTTCTTCTTAATGTAGGATATTACTGCAATGGCTTCATATCTGAATGAAGCATCTCAAAGACCTTCAGAATAACAGCAGCCTGTCTTGGTTTTTGCTTTCATTTCTTTATTTTATTTTATTTTCTGAGTTGTGGGATACAAGTGAGGACTTACTACATAAGTAGACTGCATATAGATAAAGTTTGGGCTTCCAACTAGCCCTCTCTTCCCTGATAGTGGACCAGGCACCCAGTATGTTGCCATGTGCCCCCTCCCTACCCCAGCTGTGACTAGCATCTGCCAATTTCTACCCTTGTGCCCAAGGACCAGGGCCCACTTATGAGTGAGAATGTACAGTATCAGTTCTTGTTTCCAGCAGCCTGTTTTGTTTGATGCCAAGTGCTGTTTGCAGATGCACAACGGTCAGTTCAGTCAAGCTGCATTAGGTCCCGGGGGTAGCCCAACAACGTGAGCACATTTCCAGCAACTGGCACATCTCCACAAGATTGTGGTTGCTTCCCTCCCTGTCCAGGATACACTGGGAGCAAGCCAAGACTCTGCTGGAAAGGAACAGCCACTGGCCAGTCTAACAGGAACTTTGGGCATTAATTCAGGCCTGAAGTCGCTTGGATACAGCCAAGCATTTGAATTGTTGACTATTCCCTAAAGAAATGAAAATGAAAGATGATAGTCATTCTTATTGTTCAAATGACTTCTTAACATTTCAGGCCAAAAAAGAATACATGGGTCTCGCAATCAAAAATGATAACCTAGTCTACGTCTATAACTTGGGGACGAAAGACGTGGAGATTCCCCTCGACTCCAGGCCCGTCAGTTCCTGGCCTGCTCACTTCAGCATTGTCAAGATCGAAAGGTAAAGGGACTCCAGAGTCCCAAGCACGTTTCATAAGGAACCTATTGAAGGCACTTGCACACACATACACACACATGTACACACACATACACACACACACACACACACACACACACACACACACTTGTATGCACACATACACATACGCACACATACACACACATACACACACAAACGCACACATACACTCAAACATGCACACATGAACACACGCACGAACACATATGTACACACAGAGACACACCCACATGTGCGCACACACACAAATGCACACATGTGCACACTCACATGTACACACACGCACACACAATGCACTCACACGTGCACATGCACACATGTGCATGCACATTTACACACTCACACACTCACATAGTCTTCTGATGAATAGCATTTCTTCCCTTTCTCCTAGCTCTCCTTTCTTTTGTTATTTTTATATTCTTTCCAAAACACCTTGGTGGAAAAGAAAAGACAAAAAAGGTCATCATTTCTAAATGACAATTTGACTATTACATCTTATCTGGCCAATCCATGAGTTATTTCCAAGATGGACTGTTTCTTTCCCCTTCCACTGAGTGTTGATGTTCTGTAAATGCTTCTTCATGGGACAAAATCAAGTTGCCAGTTTTGTGATGAGAGAACCTTAGCATTTTGACGTTTAAAAAATATTTTCTATAAATTATCTGGCTAACAAAGAGTGAAAATGTTTTCTCTCAATAGGGTAGGGAAACATGGAAAGGTGTTTTTAACAGTCCCAAGTCTAAGCAGCACAGCTGAGGAGAAGTTTATCAAAAAGGGGGAATTTCCAGGAGATGACTCCTTGCTGGATCTGGACCCCGAGGACACGGTGTTTTATGTCGGTGGGGTGCCTTCAAACTTCAAGGTAAGCTAACCAGTTATATTTTGATTTATTACATATCTACAGTAATTTTTTTCACAAATCCATTAAACCTATCATGATTTGGGGGGGCAGATATCATTTTAAGAACTTAGCCCCGTAGGCAGCAGAATTCTAAACCAGAGTTTATACATCTGGCCCACAAATTTGGTCTATGCCACTCCTATTTTCATAGCATCCGACGCTTTCAGGATATGGCTGGCAGTCAAGGATCAGTTAGTTTCACTCTGATACTTTCATGTGTCATTAATATCACCCTCACCTGCTACAGAAGTGTCTGTATCTTGTGGCGTCACCACAGCTCGGATCTAGCCTGCAACTTTTCAGATGACAGTTTCAAAAATTCAGCAGTCTCACCTAATACAGGCATGAAATAAAGTATCTGGGAGGAGACGAGGTCAGGACCTAGGAGAGACTATGAAACCTGATAAGGAAGGAAAGGCCCAAGAAGATGGGGATTGGTCTAGGGTTCCAGTGTCAGCACTGCTGTCACTAGTTATGAGTACATTACTGAACCCCTCTGGGGATGACTTCCCCTCTCCTTAAATGAGAGCAGGAATACCTACCTCACAGAACTGGTATAGGATGGACTAATTTTTGTTACGAATTCACTGTCTAACACAGGACCAGGACGTAGTCTATACTCAGTCAATTCCCCTTCTCTGCTGAGATGCACACACCTGACAAATCACTGCTTAGCTAGATGTACTGGCATAGACTAGGCCCAAACTCGAGTCTCAGAAGATATTTATATCAAGGAGTGAGTCCCCTGACCTGCTATCCGTCTCATCGTCTGTTCTGTGGGAAGAATATGACCACGGGGCAGCTGACTACGTTTTCTGTCGTTCAGCTCCCTGCCAGCTTAAACCTGCCTGGCTTCATTGGCTGTCTGGAACTGGCCACCTTGAACAACGATGTAATCAGCTTGTACAACTTTAAGCACATTTATAATATGGACCCCTCCAAGTCAGTGCCCTGTGCCAGGTAAGAGACTATGAAGGGTCCTCAGGACTCCGAGAGCCACAGACAGGACACGTGTGAGTCAGTCTTCACGTTCTCAAACTTTTCTCAGGGGAAACCAGTTTTGAAACTGCATAACAGACATGCCTGCAAAATACCCTTCAGCTTTTCTCCACGTCGATGAGTATGCGTGAGTGTTCAGTGTTGAGCAACTTGTCTGCAGCTCTGAGTTAAGATTCCAGAGACTGGAGTTTCCCTGGAGACTTTGGTTGTCTTTGCACACAGTAGAGAAGAAATCCATTCAAAACCATCCATGGAACTTACCTGTAAAAACTTCTCTCCCTCTTCCACACAGACAGCAGGACTTTGTCTAAATGTTATGAGGTCCATAAAGATGCAGTGAGAATGGCTTGAAGGGGCCTCATTTGAAAAGCATGACCGAAACTGTTCATATGGCCTTTGTGCTTCCATTTCAGGGACAAACTGGCCTTCACTCAGAGTCGGGCCGCCAGTTACTTCTTTGACGGCTCCAGTTACGCCGTGGTGAGGGACATCACCAGAAGAGGGAAGTTTGGTCAGGTGACTCGCTTTGACATTGAAGTTCGAACACCAGCTGACAATGGCCTCATCCTCCTGATGGTGAATGGGGTGAGTAGAAATAAAAATCCTTCTTCTCCTTTATTTCCTTGACTTTTCTGCTAGTCATGTGTCCAGGAATCTATCCAGGCTGAGTATGCTGTGCCCATCAAACTGATACTCTAGCTTACAAAGCAAAAGTGGGATTGTTTTTGTTTTTTCAGGGAAGCAATGACAGCAATACATTAATGCAGTTCTGAAATACTTTTCCCCACACCACAGTTTTGGATGTGAATTAAACATAATCTTTAATAATAGCTAAGAGAACTGTGAGGAAAACAGCACTAAGATCTAGGTGAGCAGTGTGTCTGCAGAAATTTTGCATGGGCTTCCTGACCTTTCTAAATGATATACTTCATCAATTTTTTAAAAAAGCTTTCATGTTTTATACACACACACGTATATATCTTTTTTGTAAAAAATATACAGTACTATAAAACAATATAAGTATGAGAGGAAGCTTTCAAAACTTGCAATAAAAGAAAAATTATATAAAGATGAAATAAATGCTTAAATAACTTTATAATAAAGATTAAATTAAATTAACTTTTATTTATTAATGATACAGAAACTCTTTTAAAGCACCAATAATTATTATTATTATTATTATTTGAGTTGGAATCTCACTCTGTCACCCAGACTGGAGTGTAGTGGCACGCTCCTGGCTACCACAGCCTTGACCTGCTGGGCTCTGGTGATCCTTCCACCTCAGCCTTCCAAGTAGCCGGAACTACAGGCACCACTACCATACCCAGCTAAATTTTTACTTATTGTAGAGACGAGGTCTCGCCAAGTTGCCCAGGTGGGTCCTGAACCCACAGGCTCAGGCAATCCACTCGCCTCGGCCTCCCAAAGTGCTGGGATTACAGACTGAGCCACTGAGCCCGGCCTAAAAATTATTTTAATAGTACTTTTTCTATTGTCTAATTCAAAAAAAATGTGCTAAATAATTTTGAAAATCTTGCTAAACTCTGTAATACAATGATTCAAAAGTCTTGTCCTAAGCCCAGTTTATTTCAACAATAAGTTTTATTGGCTGTGATAACTGGACAAGATACCTCACAAAAATAAAAAATGAAAGAAGTATATCACTGGCTGTGCCTATGAAATTATATACAGTTTCTCAATCACATTCACCAGTTGGCAAAAGTTGTCTTTGAGATTTGACTGGTACATTTTCCTCTTTCCTCAGTTCTTGAACTGACCAGATACTGTATCATTTGTAACTTTAATAAATGTGTTCAAAGCCCCTACAAATCCTCACTTCAAGAATTTTTAAGCAGGTTAGAAATTTCTTCTTACAAATGTTTTCATAGCACAGTTATAAGAGGTTTTGGTCAGGCACGGAGACTTATGCCTGTAATGCCAGTATTTTGGGAAACCGAAGTGAGAGGATTGCTTGAGCCCAGGAGTTCAAGACCAGTCTGAGCAACTTAGTGAGACCTCGTCTCTACAAAAAAATTCAAAAACTAGCTGGGTGTGGTGGTATGCCTGTAGTCCCAGCTATTCAGGAAACTGAGGCAAAAGGATTGCCTGAGCCTGGAGGTTGAGGCTGCAGTGTGCCATGATCATGCCACTGCACTCCAGCCTTGGCAACAAAGTGAGACCCATCTCTAAAAAAAAATTTTTTAATTAAAAAAAAAGAAAGAAATGAGAGTTGGTATGGTTGTACACTTACACTGTTTTCATCAACAAAATCGCTTAACAATAGAAAAACTTCCAAACATTTTTTTAAAAACTCTCTCTCCACAGTATAGCTGTCTTCAAAAAAAGTTACTTTCTCATTCATTATGATAATAATACCCTTACCTTGATGTGACAGTATGTTTATGTTTTGAAATAAATAGTAGGCTTCAGACCACTAAAAGACTTTTATCATCACAAATAAAGTTCGGCAAATTTAGACTAATTCATTTATTAAGAAAATTGTTTAACAGTCTTTAAACTTGACAGTAGTTTTAGTAATTTGCAGGAAGTAACCAGCAAATATCTGTGTCTCTCAAAATGTTTTCACATCACTCTGAATTTCAATACAAAATGAATGTAAATATTCTGTTATGTAGATTATATCACTTGTAAATCCAAGTCACTGGGCACACATAAACTAAAATACTGTGCAGTAGGCTAGGAGCAAAAAACTGGGTGGGGGACACCTTCAATCCTTCAGTGTGAAAGCCCTCCTGGGAAGCCTCACATCTTATGTGAATCCCTTGAAAGCCTGACAGACAACATGAAGGCCCAGAACCAACAATCCACATACTATAAATATCAAAGATTAGGTTATTTCCCTATTTTAGATTTTTAAATGAGTATAAATAGAAATTGAAGTATTTTCTTCATAAGTCTCAATGAGATGTTTTCCATGCTCCCAGGCATATACAAACTCCACTCAGGACATCAATTTCTGTAGAATAGGGCTTTACTACAATATTTCATTTTTTCAAATTCATTGAATTCTTGTATCTGTGAGCTATCTTCTGAAGCAAGCAAACCTGACCAGTAAACTACTTGAGTGTTACAGAATTACTCTGGTTCTCAAACATCATGTGGTTCGAGTACATAATTCTATACTTGTTTACAAAAATCTAGTGTTTCCAAATAATACATAAGTGACCTTTATTCAAATATCCACATTTGCGTATAATTTGGAGAGATTATTTTCAGTAGATCTTGAAAATATTTTTCAGTACTACTGATTCTCATCTTAAAATGAATGCAGTTGTATCTATTGGCTGGTTGTAATTTTCAAAAGTTGCCAAACACAAGGCAATTGAATAAACATGCTCTATTTTCAAGAATTTTAAGAGGACAGTAAGGTAGATTTGAAACTTCATCCATTAATTTGTAAAGCAAAATAAAAACAAAAGAAGATAGCTTTTAAAATTGTGTATCATATTAACACTTTTATATATTAACATGGGCAATAATTATTGATATGAAAGTAGTTGTCATCTTTAGTCCATAATCATAATTTCATGTAACTTTCTTTGTTTTCAAATAACTTCAGTAATAGAGAACACGGCATTGTTTCTCAAATTCAGCTAAGTCTGGTGCTACCTTTATAATAGAATGCTCCACCTTACACCTTCTTTCTCTCCACAGAGCATGTTTTTCAGCCTGGAAATGCGGAGTGGTTACCTGCATGTGTTCTATGACTTTGGATTCAGCAATGGCCCTGTGCATCTTGAAGACACGTTGAAGAAAGCTCTAATTAATGATGCCAAATACCATGAGGTACAAATCATTGTAGTGTAGCTGGTTTGGTTTTCACTTTTGTTTTTGATGCTTAGATCTATGGGTCTAATCAGGAGGTCAAATGAGATAGACAGGAACATAATTAAACCAAACACATTCATATCGAAAGAACAGGTGAAAGACCCTCATCTATGCAGGAAAACGTTTGCTTTAAAAGAATGGATGTTTTTGTCATATTGATGTTTCTAATTAAAAAGTCACTGAAAAATTCTTTTTAATTGTTTCATACACCAGAAGGCTTTTGTTAATCTTAAATCTCTCAATTAAAGTGGTATTCCTATGGAGTCCCTCTTTATGAGTGTTGAACATGCCAGAGTATAGAGACACAACCATTTTTTTTTAGCTAATCCTTCGAGTCTCACGAAATGAAACAGTAGTAGATATACACAAATATAGAATTGCCTTTTAAGGCATTTTTCCAGAGTTTAGAAAATACTAGCACAGTTTTTCATATAAAGAAAACTCACATCAAAGGAGGATGTGGGCTGAAACAAAAAATAAAAAGACCTCACAAAGAATGCCCTTCAGTCTTTTTTTTTAATACATATTTTTTATTTTAAAATTGTGAGGTACAGTTAAGGGTTAGGTATACAAACATTCATTTTGCAGGTACCCTTGTGGATGAGGTGTGCCCCCCTTACCCCAAACAGATATTGACTACCGTTAATCCCACCTCCCTTCCCCTCCCTGTCCCCTCCCCCCTATAGTTTCCTGCCGCTGTCAATCCTTGTCTTTTAGTATTACAGTAGTTGTTCAAGGTCCACTTATGAGTGAGAACATGTGATGCTCAGATCTTTGTTTCTGTGAGAGGTCACTCAGTATTATAAACTCTAATTCCATCCAGGTTGCTGCAAAATTCATGATTTTGTTCTTTTTTATGACTGTATTATATTCCATTGTGTATATGTACCACATTTTTTAAATCCAGTCCTCTTTTGATGGATAGTATGGTTGGTAATAGACCTTCAGTCTTGAAACAGATGTGCATTCTACTGAAAGTATACTTTATTCATTTTCATTAGCACTACTTAATTTTTGTCTTTATTTCAATTGCTTTGGGGGTACAGATAGTTTTAGTTACGTGGTTGCATTATACAGTGGCAAAGAAAGCTTTATGTGTACCCACTACCCCACCTGTGGACATTGTATCCAACGGGTGATTTTTCATCCCTCCACCCATTCCTCCCCACTTCTGAGTCTTCAACAACAACTTAAATATCAATTTAATGAAGTGTATAAAAGACATAATATCTCTTAAGTTGAACCAACGTGCAGAGGGTAGGAGACCATATTTCCCTTTTCAGTTCAAAGTCCATAGCTTTCATGAGGGTGATTTACAATAAAAGAATATTTTAACTATTTTTCTGACTAGCGTTTTTGCAAATTCATTAGAGCTGCTCATGGTGTCACCAAAAAATGATACCTGATAACATACAGTCTAGAGTCCAGAAGGCACCTGCTTCAGAATACAATAGTGGCCACCCGGAGACGGGGGGCTGGGCAGGGGAAATGAGGAATTGTTAGATGAGTATAAAGTTTCAGTTGTACCAGAGAAATGCATTCTAGGGATCCACTCAACAACAGAGTGCCTGTGGTTAACAATAATTCAAAATGTGTCAGGAAGGTAGATCTCACGTAGTATGTTTCATACACACACACACACACACACACACACACACACACACAGCACAAAGGGGCAAAGGTACCTTTGGGAAGTGTGGAATGTACCTATTACCTTGATTGTGGGGATGGTGAGGTGAGTGCATTATATCCAAACTCTTCCAATTTGCCTATTACCTTGATTGTGGGGATGGTGTGGTGTTTGCACTATATCCAAACTCATCCAATTTGCTTAGTACCTTCATTGTATGAATGGTACAATGAGTGTTTGAATTATATCCATACTCATCCAATTTCTCTATTACCTTGATTGGGGGGAAGGTCGGTGAGTGTTTGTGTTATATCCAAACTCATCCAGTTTGCCTATTACCTTGATTGTGGGGATGGTACGGTGAGTATTTTAATGATATCATCCAATTTGTCTATTACTTTGATTGTGGGGATGGTATGGTGAGTGTTTGCATTATATCCAAACTCATTCAATTTGCCTACTACCTTCATTGTGGGGATGGATGATGATGAGTGTTTGCATTATATTCATATTCATCCAATTGTATACATTAAATATGTGCCATTATTGGTCTATCAGTTACCTCAACAAAGTTTTTTAAAAGAAGAAGAGGCACCTTGTTATTGTTCTTTCTCGAACCCCCTCAGAAGGGGCAGGAGAAAACAGTAGGTCACATGGCACACTTTTGCGTGGCCAATCCTTCTTCAGATAACCCTCCTTTCTCCAGAGATGTGAGCTACCAGGTACATAAGCAAGAGTTTTCATTTCTATGAGAAATAAAGGAGAATCAATTTCCCATTTTGTGAACAAACAAGCACAAAGACATGGAGGACCTGCTGTTATAGCCAGAATAATTAAAACATATGGAAATCTTCAAAAAGAAACTGATTATTCAACAGTTGATCAAGACTTACTAGATATTATTTCTTGCAGATATCTATCATTTACCACAATGATAAGAAAATGATCTTGGTAGTTGACAGACGACACGTCAAGAGCATGGACAATGAAAAGATGAAGATACCTTTTACAGATATCTACATTGGAGGGGCTCCCCCGGAACTCTTACAGTCCAGGTAGACTTTTTGTTAAGGAGCTGTAATGGGCTCCCAGCGACATGATGGGCTGAGGATTCAGCACCCAGGAGGTTTCTAGGAACAGGCGCGGGCACTCCACTTGCTACTATTATGCATGGGCCTAGGCATGTACACACATATTTATGCACCGCAGGCCCTCTGCAGCCTGTCCTCATGACCTCCGGTAATTAGTATCTTGTAACGTGACCTGTGGGTTCCTCTGATGATTGTATTGCTCTTAGAACAGAGTCTAATGTGATGTTTCTCATCAACAAGAGAAAGGGTGGCATGTGTGTATTGTGTGAAGACAAAGCAGCATTTGTTCCTTTACTTTTGTCTTGCCCTTATTATTTGAACTCTCCAGAATCTGGGGGTACACAGATTTTTATGGTTACCCAGGTCTTGTGGATAATGCGCAATGAAACATCAAGACATTCCTCTAGCCTTAGCTGATTACTGTGTGGCACAATTAAGGTCAAGAAAGTCAGTTTATTGCCTAAGTGGATTAGTGAAAGTCTGAAGACCTGGATTTAAATTCTAACTTATGAGAGAATAATTTTATTTCTTAGTTTCATTTTATAGGTTGCACCCTATGAAACTGGGAAGAGTCAACTATTTTAAACCTATAATATATAAATTCCCTATGATTCAACCTAATAATCATCTGTTAAAGGGAAATAATAGCATCTCCATATATATTACTGAATTAGTATAAAGATAAAATTAGTAAAGATAAAATTAGTAAAGATAAAATTAGTATAAAGATAAAATTAGGTAACTTAAAGGATTTTGAAACTGTAAAGAAGTAAACAAATTGACTTCACTCAAAACAAAAGTCTTCTGTAGGCAAAGATTAGATATACTGTGTGCTTACCAAAGAAAGTTTGGAAATATGAATAATTTGGAAATATGAATGAAATATGCCTGCATAGCCTTCTGTATTATAAAAAAACGTCCATAGCCCAAATATTCACAGTAACATCAATATCATAATGACTGTATTGATGAAGACTAATTTTCTTTTCCAGAACCCTGAGAGCACACCTTCCCCTAGATATCAACTTCAGAGGATGCATGAAGGGTTTCCAGTTCCAAAAGAAAGACTTCAATTTGCTAGAGCAACCAGAAACCCTGGGAGTTGGTTATGGATGCCCAGAAGACTCTCTTGTAAGAACCACTCAGTTAAAAGCTTTTTAATAAACAGACACAAAACTTAGCACTCTCAAACCTGGAAAATCTCCTTTCAGCTTCTCTGTGATCATCAGCACTTGTTGGGTTCCTTTCTGCCAGCAGCTAAAAGAAGAATCATTGAGCTAGAAAATCTTGTGGGGCTCCTCTATGACTTAATGATTTGCTTCAGTTTTCGATGGGTAGGGCAGCCAGCAACCTGAGAGGCTCCATGAGTCTCTGTTCACTCAGACTGGAGGAAGTGGAGAAGCTGAAATCTCTTCTGCTGGAAGAGTTCTGATGTAAGCCTGAACTCCAGCATAAGCCAGAGTGGAACTGTAAACCACTTATCTAGAAACTAACATGCAAGGTCCTTTGTATGTGAAAAATTGACATTTTAAGCATTTGATAATTATTTAAAACATAATATTCTCTTTTTTTGGCACACAGATATCCCGCAGAGCATATTTCAACGGGCAGAGTTTCATTGCTTCAGTTCAGAAAATATCTTTCTTTGATGGCTTTGAAGGAGGGTTTAATTTCCGAACACTACAGCCAAATGGGTTACTATTCTATTATGCCTCAGGGGTAAGTATTTGTTTTTCCCTGCAGAAATTTCTTTGTGATTATTGTTTTGCCTTAAAATAATCTTTATGAATGTTAAGTGATTTTCTATTCAGATTAGTTTTGACACGCAAGCACATACACAGAATGCCTCATTTCAGACACTCTATAAAATATTATCTATATTGTACATCAGGTGTTCTGAACCTAGAATTCATAGACCCAAACCCAAAGGGTTCATGGCTGAAATTCAGGGGGTCTATGGACTTGAATGGGAAAAAATTACTTCCTTATTTTGTAAAACTGTAGTTGATCATTTTCTTCTATTATTAATGAAGCCAACAAACTACAGTCATATTACAAGTACCTGTGACTCTGTCATTAATAGAAATCACAGATTTTTTTTATGTCACAGATATCTCAGAATGTCATTTTTATTCATTGCTACTTCTAAATTACAATAATTATTAGAACTACTAGATTTTATTATTTAACACCTTAATAGAGTACATATATTACTATATCACAGACTTATCGTTTTAATATTTTAAAAACTGTATTCCAATGTAATTAGCTCCCTTAGTATTACTACTATTTTTATTATGTATTTTAAAAACATTATTTTGTGAGAAATGCCAAAGGTATTTCTGGCACAAAAAAATATTAAAAGCCCCTGTTTGTATGTTTTGAACAAACACATTTGTAATTTAATTTGCAAAAGAGTAAAAACAGCGTACATACTTCCCTGTGCTTGGATTTGCAATAGAACCTTGAGCTTAGCTCGTAAAGATGTGCTATTTCAAGAATGAAATAAGACCTGTATGGGATTAGTAACCCCAAGATCCAGTATCTCTTAAAAGGTCATGTCCAATGTGTACACTGATGGGCCAAGTCTTCAAAGAATTTCTGAAAGCAGCTTTCACTTTTCATCCATATTATTTGCATCTGTCATATTTGTATCCAATCTAATTCAAATTAGTAGCATCTGTGACAATTGACCCACAGCATTTTGTAGGACCTCTATCCCCAAACCTGCTTCAGATTACCCTGGTTAATTAAATAACATTTTTTATCTTCAAAATAAAAAGTCTACTTTGAGAGTCAACTTTAGAGGTTGGTACCCATACAAGGAAAAAGAAGCAAGATTAGCATTTGGCAATATTTTAAGACAAGCAATAAGCAAATTCAAAAAAAAGAGTTGTTAACTTCTGCCTTTAAAAAATGTCTCTTTTGCCTCTGTAGATGAAAAAGTCAAACATCATAAAAGCCAAACTGGCAAATTAACCCTTGCCTAGTTGTCCAGCTCCATCCCCAGAGTTCCAAAGATCACCTCTTCAAAGGGATTAAAAGTGAGATGGAAAGTAGGAAGGTCACTGAAACTGAGATGACAACGCTCAGCATGACAAAATCACCAAGTATTTTCAGTTTAAAATAGGAGATCCATTTTTCTGATGAAGAGCGCCGAATTTTACAAGCAGGAGGGTGTTTTGGGGGTATTTTGTTCTTCATAGAAATTATTTTACAAGCGAATTTCCTGTACAGTGTATTCCTTTAAACAACAGCATTCTTGAACAAGTACTTTCTGAAAACTTGTCCATCTTTGAGATCGCTGGACTTCATTCTTAAAAATCCGTACTTGCATTTCAGCCAGATGTGTTCTCCATTTCCCTGGATAATGGTACCGTCATCATGGATGTAAAGGGAATCAAAGTGAAGTCGGCAGAGAAGCAGTACCATGACGGGCTGTCTCACTTCATCATCACCTCTGTCTCACCCACAAGGTACACCTGTCACTTTACACTCTTTCCACCATGTCTGTTGGTAGGACACGACTTCATCAAATTCCACTATGAGCAACAAACTATCCCATTGCCTTTCTAGTGTGAAACCAAAAATTAGGCCGGCACAGTGGCTCACACCTGTAATCCCAGCACTTTGAGAGGCTAAGGTGGGAGGATTGCTTAAGCCCAGGAGTTTGAGACCAGCCTGGGCAACAGAGCAAGACTTCATCTCTATAAATACAGCAAAAAATTAGCTGGGCATGGTGACGCATGCCTGTAGTCCCAACAACTCAGGAGACTGAGGCTGAAGGATCACCTGAGCCCAGGAGGTCGAGGTTGCGGTGAGCCATGATCATGCCTTTGCCCTCCAGCCTGGGCGACAGAGTGAAACCCTGACTTAAAAAATAAAAAAGAAAAGTTGGTCACCCGTCATCTGAATTTCTTGCTTTACAGGCTTAAATGTTAGTCTTCGTCTGGAGGGTCTTCTTGCATATAGTAATATGTAGCCATTTTATCCTGGGACTCGCAGTCTTCATTAACAAGATATTCCATTTCAGTTCCATGAGAAAATTTGCTTATCCCACCTGGAGTGGAATTCAAGGTAAAATGCTAGCTGTGCAGTGTGTAAAGAAGTTTTTTCCTTTGCAGATATGAACTGATAGTGGATAAAAGCCGACTGGGGAGCAAAAATCCGACCAAAGGGAAGGCGGACCAGGCACCAACTGGTGAACAGAAGTTCTACTTCGGAGGCTCACCCATCAGCACCCCGTACGCTAACTTCACCGGTTGCATAAGTAATGCCTACTTTACCAGGTATGATATTTTTGTTATTAATGAATCTTCATGATTGATAAAGAAGATCAAGACAATAGTGAAAATATTACATTCATAAAGCTGAGAGCTATGAAATTTATCTGAGGGTAGTAATTAAAAGTTTGTTAGGTCAAGTGTAGTGGCTCATACTTGTAACCCCAGCACTTTGGGAGGCCGAGGCAGGAGGATTACTTGAGTCCAGGAGTTCAAGACCAGCCTGGACAACATAGTAAGACCACGTCTCTACAAAAATATCAAAAAATTAGCTAGGTTTGGTTATGCGTGCCTGTAGTCCCAGCTACTTGGGAGACTGAGGCGTAAGGACCGCCTAAGCCCAGGAGGTCGAGGCTGCAGTGAGCTGTGATCATGCCACTGCCCTCCAGCCTGGTTGAGAGAGTGATTCAAAGTAAACAAATAAATACATAAATAAAAAGCTTGTTATATGCTTAAGCAATTGTCATGCTTAGGTTTGTGTGTCGGTTCTTTGGCCTTCATTTCTGTATGACCTTGGCCATATAAGCCTTCATTTCTTCCCCCGCAAAATATAGATAATATTACCTGCTTGGTAGACTTGTTAATGCACATAAAGCAACTTGTACAGTATCTGGTACACAACAAGCTATAAATATTAGATGCAATTCCTTTTTTTTTTTTAGAATCAAGTCAAAAAACTTTTATTATAATTCACATATTTTATAGAAAAATAAATGTAACAAAGGCATCAGAATTGTACTAAAACCCACATTTATACAGGTTGCTCCACTTCCAGTTGGGATAAGGGTCTCCCGACATCAACTCCAGCAGCTGCACTTGTCCCAGGTCACTTAGCCGAATTCACCCTGGGCACTTTTCACCCAGCCCACAGGGCAGCAGGAGCAGTACCTCTTCTTGCACGATGGGCATTTGCACTCTTTGCACTTGCAGGAGCCAGCACAAGCACAGGCGTCACCAGTGGCGCAGGAGCAGTTGGGGTCCATGTCGATTCAGGCTAGGCTGGAGTTGCAGGAGAGAGGGAAGAGGCAGGGGAGCACGTGGAAGGTTTTAAATGCAATTCTTTTTGTACTTTTCATTAATGGTCTAGTGTAGCACAACATACCCAAATCCTTGCTAGAAGCATAAGAAAGTCTTTTAAATTCAATGCATGACTTGAAGCAAAGTCATGGATCTAGGTTCTTAAGAAAGACAATAGGGGCTTCTTGAGTTCCAGAACAGGCAAGGGAGGAATTTACCACTGATTAAGAAACACAGAGGCAGTCCTAATCATCCAGAGTATGGCGAGAGAGAGGTCTTTATTAGCAACTGGTGCCAGGCACATAGTTGTTTTATTATTATTATTATTATTATTATTATTATTATTATTATTAATGTGGCTGAATGACAAGTTAAAGCGTTCTGATTCAGACAGTGGTTGAGTGATATACACACATCACTGAGTTCTGAACAACACTGCTAACATTTGCTTTTTTCCACTCCTGCAAACACAGGTTGGACAGAGATGTGGAGGTGGAAGACTTTCAGCGGTACTCCGAGAAGGTCCACACTTCTCTTTACGAGTGTCCCATTGAGTCTTCACCATTGTTTCTCCTTCACAAAAAAGGGAAAAATGTCTCAAAGCCCAAAATGAGTCAGAATAAAAAGGTAAACAATGACACTGGGCCAGCTTCCCGACTGGCCTTGTGTGCCACGCACACAATGCTGGATGCTGCTGCTTGTGCACATGTAACTCCAGACACTGCTGTTTGTGTGCACACAACTGTAGACACTGCTGCTTTTGCGCACACAACTCTAGATGCTGCTGCTTTAGAGAATTCATGCTAGTTTGCAACTGTGTGCATACAAAAGATGAGATTCTTGCAGCGTCAGATACTCCAGTTTACCAACTTCATTGCATTGATTCTTTTTTCATTGTTTAAGCATGTATTTTCTTTGTTTTGATTGATGTGTAGTAATTGTACATATTTATGGGGTACAGAGTGATATTTGGATACATGTGCACAAGGTGCAATAATCACATCATGGTAATTAGCATATCCACCACCTCGGACATTTATTAATTCTTTGTATTGGGAACATTTAAAATCCCATCTTCTCGCTATTTGAAAGTATACAATAAATTATTATTACTATAGTCACCCTAAAGTGCTATAGGATAGGGGTACCCAACCCCCAGGCCTCAACTGGTACCAGTTTGTGGCCTGTTAGTAACTGGGCCACACAGCAGGAGGTGAGCAGTGGGCTGGGAGCAAAGTATCATCTGTATTTACAGCTGCTCCCCCTTGCTCACATTACTCCTGAGCTCTGCTTTCTGTCAGATCAGTGGCGGCATTAGATTCTCATAGGAGTGCAAAGCCTAGGTTGCAGCTCCTTGTGAGACTCTAATGCCTGTTGATCTGAGGTGGAGCTGAGGCAGTGATGCTAGCACTGTGTCCCATCACCCCCAGCTGTATCATTATGTCACTCTATATTACAATGTAATAATAATAAAAATAAAGTAGAAGGTAATGTTCTTGAAGCATCCTGAAACCATCCCCTCTTCCCCTTAGTCCATGGAAAAATTGTCTTCCACAAAACCAGTCCCTGATGCCAAAAAGGTTGAGGACTGCTGCCATAGGGCACTGGAACATTTTTCCTCCCATCTAGCTGTAATTTTGTATCCATTCAACAACCTCTCCCTACCCTTCCCTCCCCAGACCCTTCCCAGCAACTAATAACCACAGTTCTATTCTCCGAATCTATGAGCTCTGCTTCTGTAGCTCCCAAGTGCAAGTGGGAACATGTGCTGCTTATCTTCTTGGCCTGCCTCATTTCACTTAATATAATGACCTCTGGGTCCACCCATGTCTGTTGCTTCAGTTCTGGCTCCCAGTGACAGTTTGAATCTACCATTCACTCATACTTCCACCTTCCTTACTTTGGTTAGAACTGTCCTTTGCTTAACGAATGTGTGTCAGTGATACATATTCTTTAGTACTGTACTTATCTGGGATCATTTGCTTCTGTGTAACCACCTCGGGCTTTTGTCTCAGTCATGGGAATTACTAAAGTTTCTGACCTTACCCTGATTTCCCCTCCCTCCTTAACCTTGACTTCAGCCACTCCCATCACAGTTGTTCTGTAGCATCAATTAAAGCCACTCCATCATAAAATCCTGACTTCTACACTTCCATTCTCCAGCTACGATTTTTTCTCAGGTGTTTACTCCCAACATGCATATGATCTGCCCCATTGCAGATGAAACCCAGAATCCCCTCCCACTCAGCCACTCTGGTCCCCCCACTGCTCTCATGGACCAGTTCCCATCATACATTCAGGTGTCAAGACCCCCATCCTGGCCCCCCACCGTCATCTCTCATCTGAACAACTGCAATACCCTCCCAACAGGTTTCCTTGACAGTCTATTTGCAACACAACAGCCAGACCTAAATATGACCGTATCATGCCCCTCCTCCACGCAAAGCAGCCCCCAGTGCACGCAGAACAAACCCAAGTTCCTGTGGTCGTAAGAGACCCTGTGTGCTCCACACTCCCTACCTCTCTGAGTTCGACCCTCACTCGCCCACCTCCCTCTCTCTTTCCCCCACTCTGGCCTCTTGACTATTCCTGGAACAGGCAGAGTGCACACCTACCTCCGGCTCCTTATTCCTGGACCACTCTTCTCCCTGACATCACAGACAGCTTCTCCCCCTTCTGGGATCGCTCAACTCTCACCTGCCTGAGGCACCTGCCATAACCAGCTCTTTGATCTGCAACCTGTCTACCGCCTCCCGCCAGCTGTAGTGATCTCCTGCCTTTCTCTATTGGTTCTTTATTGCATAGCACATATCCCATCTTAAGTTATTATTATGCCTCCTTTATAACAGTTGTTATGTGTTGTCTGGCTCCTCTCTTAGAATGCAAGCTCATCTGTTTAGTTCACTGGGAATCATAAGCGCCCAGAACAATGCATATAATAAGAGTGCATAAATATTTGGCACCATAGGGTTGTAATAAGATGAAATGAGTTAATGCTTGAAAGGCACTTAGCACTGTGCGAGGCATATAGTAGACATTCGGAGGACATCAGTTATATATCTCTACAAAGCTCTGAGTTTCTGGAGGGACACGTCCTAAGGTGGAATTGTGTGGCTTCAGGGAATATACATTTTCAATCTTAAGGCAATGCCGATTCACACCCCCACAAACAGCACTTGAAGGAACCTATTATCCCAAACAGTTGTCAACTCTGAATAGAATCACATTTCCAGAATTTTGTCAGTCTAATTAACAAATAAGGCACTTCACTGAGGTTTCAGTTGGCACGTTCCTGAATGCTAGTGAGGTTGAGCATCTTTTCTGAGGAAGAACCAACTGCCTTCCAAGGATAGACCATCAACGAGAAGGGAATGTCTCCACTGGCTTCTCTCTTCTCATGATTTTTCACTGACCGTTATGTCTTGAACATTTCCCCATTTATTTGAACATATGTGAACCACTTTTTGAAATCCTCACGAAACCTCTCCTTTACTCATTCATGATTTTTTGGTCAGTGTTAATAATTTTGCTTGTGTACAATCAAAATTTAGTGGGTTTTCAGGAAATTTCCTGAATTTTTTGTTTGTTTTTTTGAGTTGAGGTTTCACTCTATTACCCCAGCTGGAGTGCAGTGGCACAATCATGGCTTATCACAGCCTTGACCTCCTGGGCTCAGGAGATCCTCCCATCTCAGCCGCCCAAGTAGCTGGGACTACAGGCATACACCATGATGCCAATTAATTTTTCAATTTTTTGTACAGACGAGGTCTTGCTATGTTGCCTAGGCTGGTCTCAAACTCCTGGACTCAAGCAGTCTTCCCACTTTGGCTTCCCAAATTGCTGGGATTACAGGTGTGAGCCACTGTGCCTGGCAACCCTTCCTGAATTTGACATGGAAGACTAACCAATTTCATTGGTTTTTATGAAGGATTTTACTAGAAGATACTGTGAAGGATTTTTTAGAGACTACTATGAAATTTTGATAGAACGCCAGGCTCGGTGGTTCAGCCTGTAATCCCGTGCCTTTGGGAGGCTGAGGTGAGTGGAGTGCCTGAGCCCGCGGGTTCGAGACCTGCCTGGGCAGCGAGACCTCATCTCTACAATAAAAACCAAAAAATCAGCCGAGCGTGGTAGCGCATGCCTGTAATTCCAGCTACTGGGAAGGCTGAGGCGGAAGGATCACCGGAGCCCAGCAGGTCGAGGCTGCAGTGGCCGGGAGCGGCCACTGCACTCCAGTCTGGGTGACAGAGTGAGACTCCAACTCAAAAAAAAGAAATTTTGATAGAGTCTTCCTGTCACCTGCATACGTTGGTACTAAAAAGTTTATCTGGAGAATTTTGTAGCTAGCACTTGAACACTAGTCAGTGGGCCACAGCAGGTTAACATTCCAGGCTGATGAGGGGGATCAGCTTTCTAAAGCAAACACACAGTTCACCCCTCTAAATGAACACAGTTTTCTAAATGAAGTTGTCTATCAAATGTAGTTCCTAACAAATATTCAGTCTCAAGGTTGCAAGTAACACAAACTTTTCTATATTAACACAGACTTTTCCATATTATAGGAAACCTCTTAACCTTATGATGAATAGTCTTAGAAACTCAACTTCGTAATAAAAAAATACAGAATCACTATAGATTTCCATTATGTTCTATGGTGACTAGAATGTCAGCATCTACTGACCTTTTCTTGTATTCACCCTTGTTTCAATAGCTTCATAAATAGCTACCAAGAAAAACTTCTGGGCTCTGATTTAAATTTTTATCAGGGCTGCATCAAAGCAATTGGGATTGTAATAATTTATTCTCACCATCATTTCCTAATGTTTCATTTTATGCATTTATTGTAATTCATTTAACCATTAATAGACTTTCACTTGTTTCCAGTTCTGCTTTAATGGGTAAAGATCCTTGTACATACATCTTTGAATGCATTGCTGAATAAATCTTTAGGATAGATTCCTAGAGGTAGATTTACTGGATCAAGGCAAATTGTATTCCAAAAAGGTAACACTGATTTATATTTCCCTGTGGATATTTGAGAATACCTGTCTCATCCCCTATATTCTAGCCTTAACTTTTTTGTAATTTTTATGTTTTAAATGTTAAATAGTTTCTTGTTTGGTGTTTAATGTAAGAATGAATATTTTACAAGTTGTAACAGACATCAGTTGGGGTATCTGGTCAACCACTCTCTTCTCTAAGAACTGATTCCCTATCTGGTGGGCAGCCCTGGGTTTTAGGTATATGATTTCATTTCCCTGGATACAGATAGGATGGACCACGGCAGATCACGTGAACTGAACCAGGCGATCAGATTCTCTTCCTTGGAAACTTAGACCCCAAAGAGACTAGCCTGAGCTGGTCGTTGAATAGAAAACATGGAACCCTAAGAGCTCTGTATTAATTATGCATAGGGTTTTCTTCTAAACTGTTTTGTAGTAAGAGTGAAAGAGAGCTGTCCTGCAGAGAAAGTAAAATGGAAGTAGACACTGATAAACAGAACTGCAATACCAGAAACCTCAAGAAAGGGACTGCCCTGATTCTTTCCAGCTTCCCAGTTTCTTCCCTTCTTTCAATTCCAATTATTTCCTCTGATTCTGTTCCCTGGTGGGACCCCACCACACTGTCTTCTCTTGGGTTGTTTAAGGTACCCCGACATGCTTATAACAAATCACCCTCTCTTTCTAGCAGCTTGGCTGTTACCCGACACAAAAGAATCTTGCTAAATTGAAACTGGTACCACCAGTGGGATTGTAATGAACACGCCCTCAAAGAAAAAAAAAATTACAAGGGTAACGTCAAAGCCTTGTAGGGTTCAGTAAGAATTTATTTTAGGATAATAAACTGAGTCTTTGTGTTACATAGTAGTAGCTAAGTTATAACTTGTTTTCTTTATTATTAAGAGCGTATGTCCACAGAGGTTGTAGATGATTTGGTTGCTATATATAAAGGTACTAGAGATTATTAATTTTTGCAGCATATGAACAGTAGATCCTATATACAAGGGGGGATGATCAAAAAAAGACCAAAATTATCTTTTGAAGGGCAGGCCCTTTGTATTCCAGGCTTCCCCTGCTAGGTGAGTGTTCTAGGAACTCATCAGCATCCATGTACCAGCTAGCGTTGTTGTGAGAGGCTGCATTTGACTTTTAATGTTTTTTTTTTTCTTTTGAGATTCTTTCAACACATTTGCCCATTTCATGATGGGTGATTTACAAGCGTACCTGCCTACAACTCACTGAATGTTCAGCAGTTTTTGGCCAAAAACAGCATGATCCCCATACCCCACCCTCCCTTATTCACCCGATCTCTCCTTGAGTGACTTTTTTGTTTGTTTCCGTGGATGAAAAAATTCCTCAAAGGGAAACATTTTGCTGATGTGGAAGAGATGAAACAAAAAATGGCAGAAGCACTAAAAGACATCCAAATGGACAATTTCAAAAACTGTTCTGAGCAGTGGGAAAAGTGTCTCAATAGGTGTATTGCATCCAACGGAGAGTACTACTACCATATAATACAATTTATTTATTTTAATAAATAAATTCCAGGGTTTTGGGGTACCTCCCATAGTTTATCCATCTCCCTCATTGACACAGAGTAAGGCACAGCTGGTAAACTGAGACTGTCCTGTCCAAATAACCCTGTTCTTTGCTTGACTCTGGAACCAAATGAGTGTACTTGATTGAGAAAGAATGAGATCCTCTCCATTAAAATGGAGAGAACAGAGAACAGCCAGAGCTGGGGAGAGTCCCCCAGCCCACTGCCACCCCATTCCCTCACCCTTACCCTCCAGGCCGCGTGCAAAGTATTTCCAGCTGGGCCCCTCACTGAGACAAAGGTGACTATCACTACCACATTAAGGCATGTTACTCCCTAGGACCGAAGTACAGCATGGGTTTGGAGGAGATTTTCTAAGACATTAGAGGAAAAGGATGCCCCTCCAGCCCACTCTGCCCGCCTGTGGCTTGAAGCCATGGCTTTTATTTGTAGGTGAGGACCTGAACCCCGAAGTTTTCCTAACTTGCTGTATTTCCTCCATCTGAGAGAGAAGCTTGGCTTCTGCAGCATTACATTAGGTTGTGATTTCCGACAACTGTGTAAGGAAGGGAAGAGGGAATGGTGGGGCCAGGTGGGCACTCCTTCAGGACATGTAAGCCTGTGAGCTTGCGTCTCTATGTCTCCCACCCACCCACCCAATGAGAGTCTTCCCTGCCAGAACCCGGTTGTAAGAGCTACAACGCAGAGAGCAGGCGCTGGCATGGCTGGTCTGCCCTTGCATTAATTAACCTGCCCTCTGCCCATCAGACCCAGATGTTGAGGATAATTATGGGATGCAACTGAAACACCGACTTTTTGGAGGTCTTGTCTTTTGCCCATAGGAGATGAAGGGTTTTCTTGTCCCTCTGCCTCCATTTCATTATGCCTTCCAGAAATTTCACACTGCTTCATTCTTCTTGTAGAAAGCCCTCCTAGATTTTCAGGACTGCTGTGGATTTATTTTTTACACGAATAGTTCTGATATTTCATTGGGAATTAGGGACCAGGGACCTGGAATGTGCAGGTTCCTTCAATAATCCTGAACCAAAACTAGTATTTTCCTCCTGCTCCCTCCAGGCCCCCTGCCACACGACTCCTGTTCTACCAGTCCGTCCTTGTCAAGAACTGTCTTCCTGAGTGGATCAGAGCAGGCCACTTCCTGCTTTTAAAATCAAGGTGGTTCTATAATGCATTATCTTACACGCATTTTGTGTAGTGAGAACACAAAATCTACTCTCTCAGCAATATTTAAGTAGGCAACACATTGTTATCTGTAAGTCACCTATTGTACAATAGATCTCTTGAGCTTATTCTTTCTAATTGAATTTTGTATTTTTGACCAACATCTCCTCAATCGCTCCCCCAATGTTTATTAGTTTTTAAAAGATATACTATAGCTTCAACTGTAAACTTAATATCAGCTGGAGTCTTCTGATCTCTTAAAACCCAAGATAAAAGAACCACATATGCCCCATTTTTATATCTTATTGAATGGCAAAGACCTCTCCATTTGCCAGACAATTGTCCGGGATGCCTCTCTTGCCTGTGTTCCAGGTCATCTCAAATATTATAAATTTTTTAAGTAAATAAAAGAAAAAATAGAAATTAACAACAACAAAGAAACGACGTGGCACCTCACCACAAAAACAAAGCTCAGCTCCTAGCAAGTCATCTGGGTCCTTTCTAGGTGGCACCAAAGTGTTTTCCAATGTGCTGTTTATGTAACTGTCTCTCCACATCACCTTTCAGTTTCTAACACAGCAGAAGTGACCTCCCACTCACTTGCTGGGCCTGCCACGTGCCACCCACGGAAGGCATGTAGACACATTGAGTTCCTTCACCTCTACTTCTACCCATACCATGGTCAACAAACATTTGCTTTGAATTTTTTGCGTCTATTTTTACTTTGTTTTAGAAATTAAGACTAAATAATCATGACATATGACCCTAGACTTTCACAACTCAGAATTTTAACATCAGCAGTATGGTTTTCAGAGCACATCATGTTTGTTTATCTTTCTAAATTTTTATTTTTTAAATATATTTTATTTTAAAGATGTGGGTACAATCCAGGATTAGGTATACAAGTGGACATACAACATCATTTTTAAAAATTGTTTTTTGCTGGGCTCGATGGCTCAGCCTGTAATCCTGCACCTTTGGGAGGCTGAGGTGAGTGGATTGCCTGAGCCCACGGGTTCGAGACCCACCTGGGCAGCAAGACCTCATCTCTACAATAAATAAAAAAAAAATCAGCCGGGCATGGTAGCACATGCCTGTAATTCCAGCTACTTGGAAGGCTGAGGCAGAAGGATAGCCGGAGCCCAGCAGGTCAAGGCTGCAGTGGCCGGGAGCAGCCACTGCACTCCAGTCTGGGCGACAAAGTGAGACTCCAACTCAAAAAAAAAAAAAAAAAATTATTTTTCATCTTGTCCCATAAAATTTTGCTATGTATCCTATCACCAAAAATGTGCTTAAGTATTGTGAAGGTTTTGCTAAGCAGATTAACTTTTTACACAGCATGTCTAACAATCTATGTATTAAAGTAATATTGTTGCCAATATGAAGGTTTTATTGGCTGATCCTCTTGGGGTTCTTTTATTGCCCATTTTTCACTGTTTAAGATGTGCACTTATCGTGAATGATAGTTATCGCTGTAGTTTCAGCTTAACTCTACTTTACTATGACAGACTAGAACTTTGGATGTGTTGACATTCTGTGTCGATGTTACTGCTGCAGATACTGCTGTCGTTTGCTCATCGTGGTAGAGCTGGGAAGAGAGGAGCCTAATATTCCATGAATGGAAAATGCACGAATAATATAATTTATTGCTTTTTATCATCAATGGCGAGGACCTCACAAATTCGTTCTTGTTGTTAGTATGTCACTTCCATCCCCTAATTTGGCTTGTTTCCTATTTGTATAGGGAGAGAAAAGTAAAGACGCGCCTTTTGGGGATCCTGTGGGCCTGAAATTCCCAGAGTGGAACACTCCAAGAGACTCTCACTGCCACCTTTCCCACAGCCCCAGAGCCATTGAGCACGCCTATCAGTATGGGGGGACGGCCAACAGCCGCCAGGAGTTTGAGCACTTGAGAGGAGATTTCGGTGAAAAGTAAAGTAACACACTGAACTTGTAGGACCTTAGTGACACAGCCGGGCTCCATCCTTGGTTGCCATGTGTCATCTTTTTTCTTATGCTCTTTCCTTCCTGTGCCATATTAATCCTATTATTTTAGCATAAAATAGATACTGAAGAGTACATGGTTCCTGCTTTTCAGGAAATGATATTCTCTGCGACTTTCCCCCAGATGTAAGGTGCATAAAATGTGTTGGATCAAAAGGAAAGGCAACCCAGGCGAGGAAGACAGAGCAGATTTCAGATGACTCATCATTGAGTCTTGGGTCACCTTCCCTCCCCACACAGATCACTTTCAGACTGTCCATGGGGATACATTTGAGCTGCTGAAAGCATCATAAGACACTGAAAATGCAAACATGTTCAGATGTCCATGACCTTCCAGCTGTCTCAGGCCCATCACCTTCCAGGGTTTCACAAATCTCCATGTGATGTGATACTATTGGAGATTTATTTTTATAGTTTTAGCACCCATTTTTATATGGCTCTTCCATAGCTCTTTCAAACATTCACATGGTCAATGCACTCAATAAGAAACTGCTATTGCCTTCTGTTCACTACTTGCCTAATAGGCAGAATTGGTATTTTATATTATTCAGGAATAGCTTAGAGTTAATTAAATTAGAAGTTATCCCAATAAATTTTTCTTGACCATAGCCTGAAGCTAAATTTCAGGAAAGTTTTGTTTAATTTCTGCATACTCGGGTGGCTGCTTTTAACATGTGATAGCCATCAATTAATTTTTACTAGGAAAGAAATGTAACCTGTATTTTTAGACAGTACACAAGTGATATGATTTCTATGTAAATGTCTATATGCATATTAATTACTCACTAGTATTTTATCTAAATGGATAAGCTTCTTTAACATATAGATTTTTACTAAATTACAAACATATTACTAAAGCAAGACACAATAAGATTCTTAACTGAAGCAACACTTCTTTAAATGTGGGATGTCTCTGTTATATAAGTAGAGAAGAATTTAAATTTTTGAACTAGCCGTGCTTACCAAATATTCATTAATAATACTAAGTATGGAATAATTAGAAGTAATATTGCTTGGGGTTAGATAGAATGGCTATTTCTTTCTTCTTTCTTATGCTGTATTATTTTGAGAAGTTAGAGATGATCTTCAATCTCATTTTACATATAAGCTTTTTCTTTTCGTTTACCAGATCTCAGTTTTCCATTCGTCTGAAAACTCGTTCCTCTCATGGGATGATTTTCTATGTCTCAGATCAAGAAGAGAATGACTTCATGACTCTATTTTTGGCCCATGGCCGCTTGGTTTTCATGTTTAATGTTGGCCACAAGAAACTGAAGATTAGAAGCCAGGAGAAATACAATGATGGACTGTGGCATGATGTAAGTCAAAGGCAGAGGACAGATAGCATTATCAACATCATCACCTTTGTCAAACAGACTGACATAGCCATGCCCCGCCACTGGTCTCTTTAGAAATATCCTCTTTAAAATTCTGCTGCTGTACACTCAGAGCTCAATTTCAGAAACTTGTATTCATTCCTTATAAAAAGCGTGAAACATACCACTTTTAAAAGGATACAGGCTGTGTAATTATTGTAACCAAAGGCTTGGTAGTCATCACAATCTGAAGTTTGGTTTCTAATGATTTCTCACTTAACTTTCTTTCCACTGTTTATAGATTCTTAATTTTCAACAATTATTACTGTCTTTTATAGGCTGAGCTATGGAAGATATGAAGCGAAGAGAAAATCAGTTAGGAAGACAGGGTAACATGGATGGGTGGCAGATAAGTGTCGAAAGAAATCAGTGGGTGTGTAACAGCGAGAGGAGGCCATGAGAGATGCATCACAATTAATTACAAGAAGTTTGAGAGGGGCAGAACGCAGGGACTGCTCAGGAGTGAAGTCCTCACAGAGAGCTCAGCTAAATATTCAGAAATCAAGCCCATAGTTTTAAGTCATTCCATCTAGAGAGTCAGAAAATACCTGAGTGATCTTTTGATTCTAAGGTAGTATGAGATGAAAAATGTTTCAGGGGTGTTAATTATCATGAAAATTTATGTCTCAAAGGGATTTTATTTGTTTAGCAAACACCCATACTCTCAATGTAAAGAGATACCAAAAAAAGATCACTTCCTCTAATACATGAAGGGCTAAATCAGAGGTGAGCAGGGAAAATACACCAAGGTATATGAAGCAAGGAGGCAGAAACAGAACCTGGTGAAGGCGTGCGAGGTACAGCAGCACAGAATCAGTGAGGGATACAGTTTCTGTCACTCCAAAAACTGGATTGCTAGGAGCCTACTAAACAGAGGACAAACTCCAAGCCTTCAGAGAGAGAACCCCTGTTTTAATAAAATCTCTGAAGACTCCCCAGCACTGCCCTAGCAGAGTTGAAAGCACAGCCCCATCCGTGGGATGTCCCCAGTATGTGCCATTATCCTTTTCTCCGTCCAGGTGATATTTATTCGGGAAAAGAGCAGTGGCCGACTGGTAATTGATGGTCTTCGAGTCCTAGAAGAAAGCCTTCCTCCTACCACAGCTACCTGGAAAATCAAGGGACCCATTTATTTGGGAGGTGTGGCCCCCGGGAGGGCTGTGAAAAATATCCAGGTAAGCCAAGAGTGACTGGGTAGACCCTTGACCTTCAGAGTTAGAAGTTCACTTAATCGATGCCCTTGTTGTACAGATTGGGGAACCAGCACAAGTGAAATTGTAGTTTGGCTGGAGATGGGCTATTAGTAAGCACTGTCCCATGGCCTGGAGAAGGGCTATCAGTAAGCACTGCTCCGTGGGCTGGCTGACTGGCTGACTGCCCTGTGGCATCACAAAATCAGAAGTGATCTTTTGATTCTAAGGTAGATGCTAGATGAAAAAAGTTTCAGAGGTGTAAATTATCATGAAAATGTGTCAGATCCCAAAGGGATCTTATTTGCTTAACAAGTACCCATACTCTTTTTTTTTTTTTTTAATTTTAAATATGTGGGATACAATTCAGGGTTGGAGCCAGGTTCAGTGGCTCAGCCTGTAATCCTGCGCCTTTGGGAGGCTGAAGTGAGTGGATTGCCTGAGTCCGCGGGTTCGAGACCCACCTGGGCAGCGAGACCTCATCTCTACAATAAATCAAAAAATCAGCCGGGCGTGGTAGCGCATGCCTGTAATTCCGGCTACTCGGAAGGCTGAGGCAGAAAGATCGCCGGAGCCCAGCAGGTCGAGGCTGCAGTGGCCGGGAGTGGCCACTGCACTCCAGTCTGGGCGACAGAGTGAGACTCCAACTCAAAAAAAAAAAAAAAACACAATTCAGGGTTGGGTATACAAATGTTCACTATGCAGGTACCCTTGTTGATGAGGTGTGACCCCCCCCCATACTCTTAATGTAAAGAGATACCAAAAAAGAAAGCAAGTCATTTCACTATATATTATTGAATGAAAGAAAGTTTCAGATCATTACGTAAACTACAATTCCTTTTTTTACACACACACACACACGATTTGTAAATGTACAAGGTAATGGAGTTGCCCCAGGAAGAAGTAAGAATATAGTAAGAAACATATTATTTTTGTAATTTAAAAATTAAAAATATTGTAACTTTTAAAATATTTAACAAAGAGAATACATCAAACGACTAAAAATAAATATATGTTTGATGTTAGCACAGTGTTAAAAACACATTTCTGAGATCCATTAATAGATTTTAGATAAGGCAGAAAAGATGGTTTGCAGTGTAATTAGATTTTAGGTAAGCAGCACCTAATTCCATGACAATCTATTTAAAAAATTTCCAAATGCAATATAAAATCAGTTGCCTAAAGTGTCCCAAGTTGCACATTCTGTGATATGATAAACTCTCAACCACAAAAACAGCTAATGAAACCAGAAATGCAAGCTTTCTGCTGTTCATTCAGCTATGATAAGGTTAAGAACTTTGCTAGCCCTCATCAGCATGAGGGGACATTGGGCACAGCTGTCATTCTTGAAGGAAAACAAAGGAAGCAAAGTAGGGTGTGTGTGTGTGTGTGTGTGTGTGTGTGTGTGTGTGTGTGTGTGTGTGTGTGTTGGAATCTCACTCTGTTGCCCAGGCTGGAGTGCAGTGGCGCAATCACGGCTACCGCACCTCTACCTGCTGGGTTTAGGTGATCCTTCCTGCTTCAGCATTCCAAGTAGCTGGAACTACAGGTGTGCACCACCACACCTGGCTAAGTTTTTTGATTCATTGTGGAGACGAGGTCTCACCAAGTTGCCCAGGCTGGTCTCGAGCCCCTTGGCTCAGGCAATCCTCTCACCTTGGCCTCCCAAAGTGCTGGGATGACAGGCATTAGCCACCATGCCTGGAATAGTAGGAAACGTCTAATAAACAATTTGGAAACCATAGCTGCAATTAATTAACAAGGTGTTATGTAAAAATTCCTGTAGCTTAATTACTGCAGGTTGAAATTATCAAATAAATAATCCCAGCTTCCAAGAACAAGTTAAAAAGCAACTACCGGCCAGACATGGTGACTCAAGCCTGTAAATCCAACACTTTGGGAGGCCGAGGTGAGAGGACTGCCTGAGCCCACAGGTTTGAAACCAGCCTGGGCAACTTGGCAAGACCTCATCTCTATAATAAATCAAAAAATTAGCCAGGCATGATAATGTGGACCTGTAGTACCAACTACTTGGAAGACTGAGGCAGAAGGATCGCCTGACCCCAGCAGGTCAACGCTGAGGTAGCAGTGAGCATGCCAATGCACTCCAGCCTGGGCGACAGAGTGAGACTCCAACTCCAAAAAAAAAAAAAAAAGCAACTACCTAGGAAAACACTGATCCTTCAGATGGCTAAAATAAGGACAAGGGATGACCTGACTTCTTGCAGCATTCAAACCCCTCAACTATTTGGTTCACCTTTGTTTAGAAAATGGACTTTACAAGCTGTCTTCTTCTCCCAGATTAATTCAGTTTACAGCTTCAGCGGCTGCCTCGGCAATCTCCAGCTCAATGGCGCCTCTATCAGCTCTGTTTCGCAGACGTTCAGCGTGACCCCCTGCTTCGAAGGGCCCATGGAAACAGGAACTTACTTTTCCACAGAAGGAGGATACGTCATTCTAGGTAACATGATGTGTTTAAAACATCAATCACTAGATGTTTCTTTCCTGGAGATGGCTGCCAGGGACTGTCAGGCCCAGAGTCAAAACTGAGGGATACCCAACTGAGCCCTGAGATGACTTCTTTCTGCAAAGACCCCCTTTCTCCCCTCCCCCTTTCCCACACCTGTCTGGCCAGAGCTCCTCCACAGCTGCCCAGCACCTGGATGCATTCCTTAGAGCATCCCATGCTGCCCCAGGCCTGGCTCAAACCAATTCCTGGCCACCTTGCTCCTCCACATCTTGCTCTGCTCCCTCTTAGCGCAAGCCGCTGTCCCTACTAAGAAAAGCCCCACTTCCTGCCCCTGACCTGCAACACCAGCAGACAACTCTAGCCTTCCGAAACTCCATTTCTGGATTTTTATTCTCCTCCACCGTGACTCTTTCACTCATTCATTCAACAGTTTTTATAGTATGCCTCCTGCGTGGCAGTTCCTATGCCAGATGACGGAACAAGATGCTTTGAAAAGTAAAAAGCAGGCTGAGTGTGGGGCTCACACCTGTAATTCCAACACTTTGGGAGGCCAAGGTAGGAGGATTGCTTGAGCCCGGGGTTTGAGTCCAGCCTAGGCAACATAGCAAAACCTCATCTCTACAAAATTAAAGTAAATAAAATCCTAACAGACCACACACACTCATCTTCCAATGCAATCCAACAAATGTGCATTGGATGTGGGGAAGCTGGGAAATGGGTATTAAGCTGCATGTTCCCTGCCCACAAGGCACTTGGGGACTTTGGCCATCCCCTGAATAAAGAAATGACAATGTGCCAAGTGCACTTTTTAAACCACCACCCTGCCAGGTAAAATACTCAGAGGTCACAGTTACCCTTGTCCAGCTCACAATTTCTCTTTCTGTCTCTGCCCCACCCGCCTTTACCCCTCCTAAAACACCTACACGCACATTTCTCAGCCCTTCGCTGAATGTCAGTGATGATAATTTCAAACGCATAGCTAACTGCACAATTCATGTAATAATCCACAAACATTAACTCATAGCAGAAAAAATCAGAAAGTGATTTAAAGGAGACACACCAAGTGAACGTTGTTAAGATGCTCGGGTCCGTGATGGTCTCATGAATGCAGCTACACTTAGTAAGACTCCTCTTAGGTCCTGAGTAGTAGCCTCTCAGTGTTTCTGCGGCCCTCACCTTCTCTCCACTGGAATGCTCTGCAGCACTGGCGCCAGTTCAGCTTTTGTTTAAGAATTATCTTAAAATACAAGTCCACTCAAGTCTCACTCAGGGACTGCACTGACGTCAGCACATCAGGATTGGAGCCCCTCCCCTCCCAGTGACCCTACACTCCAGCACTGGATCCCCTCCCCACGCGCCATGCCTCCTTCCACCCTTGTGGGGAACATCAGTCACACTGGCCTTCACCTGCCCTGCAAGCGTCCCAGCCTCTACCTGCATGCAAGCTACTTTCTCTGCCCAGACTGTCCTGTCCTCCTCACTTGTGAAATACTAAATGGTGCTGCTAGTTGGAAGTACCATCTCCTCCCCTGGCCTCCCATAACACAGAAAGTATTTTTGGTGTGCTATTCACAACCCCACACCCCAAGACAGGAGTGATGTGTTAGTTATAGTCATTCCCCACATAGCTTTCCACAGTGAGCCGACAGGGACACACCACTTTCTGCTTATCTGTGAAAAATGCATCAAGCTTTCAAAAACAGATGCAAAAATGTATAATGACAAAATCACACCAGAGTTCCTAAATGTATTTTGCTGTTCCTGAGAGTTTATGGTATTTCTCTCCACAGATGAGTCTTTCAATATTGGGTTGAAGTTTGAAATTGCATTTGAAGTCCGTCCCAGAAGCAGTTCCGGGATCCTTGTCCATGGCCACAGTGTCAATGGGGAGTACCTCAATGTCCACATGAGAAATGGGCAGGTAGCGTCTTAGAGTGGCTAACAATTTGTCTCGTCTGACCCTGGGTTCCAGATCTGAAGCAGATTTATTTCACAGAATTATTTCATCAGTCTTTTCTAACTAGAAAACAAAATAGGGAAGTTGTTACATGAAATTGAAATGGGGGCAATATTTGGATTCAGATTTATATGCTGAAAATTGACTTTATTAGAGCAAAGAGTCATGAAAATAAGGAAAAATTACAAGACAGAGATCACCCATAACAACATAAAGTGTTTTAACAAAATAATTAGAACTTTTTTCACCAAATGGAAGCAGCAAACATACCCAATTATCGAAAGCAACAGTAGAACATGTCTTTCTAAATATCTGTATGTACATAAACTAAAATATGTACACATATCTGATATAACATATAATCTATACATACACATGTTATTCTCGATCGCTAGAAATAAAACAAGTATGTTATAATTAAACACCACTTTCATCCTAAAATATTACTAAAGAATATTCATGAAGGTATTCAGATATTAAGTTAGATACATCTAACTTAATGTAACAGATTTTTATTTGGGTTCTAGCACATTCTATTAAATTATATTAAACCATATAAAAATAAAACATATCCTTACACGGTGCTTACTATGTGTCAGGTACCATTCTAAATGGTTTATGTGGATTTAACTTATTTGATCTTCCCTATAGTTATATATTAGTTATATATGTTAATACTGTTATTTTACACATCAAAAAACTGAGGCAGAGAGTAAGGTGAATAGAGGAGCAGCCGTCTGGCTTTAAAGGCCATGCTCTTTACCAACACTGTAACCTGCTTCATCTAACTTGCCCTATCTTTAGAAGTTAAAGGAATTCATTCTGTTTCTTGGTGTCTGTCTCTCTCTCTCTCTTTCTCTCTCTCTCTCTCTCTCTCTCTCTCTCTCTCTCTCTCTCTCTCTCTCTCTCCCTCTCTCTATTTGGATCATTTTCTTCTCTCTCCAAGGAGCACCCCAGTTTATACGATTTCTATAGCCAACCAAAGAGTGACCCCTTGTGTTCTAACTGCAAAGCTAACCTTATGTGGATATTTGTTAAAGGATTGCTTCACTGTGGTAGATTATGTAAGAAACTCCATTTTATCATGATGAGGAGAAACTAAATTATATGGCGTGTGTGCCCTATCTTTTGCAGGTCATAGTGAAAGTCAATAATGGCATCAGAAATTTTTCCACCTCGGTAACACCCAAGCAGAGCCTGTGTGATGGCAGATGGCACAGAATTACAGGTGAGAAATGCGGAGGGTCCTGCATGTTCTTTACAAAGGCAAACCTGCACGCCACCTGGGTGACGACCCAGCGGGGCTCAGACTAGCGCTTATTTGACAGGTGATGGATGATAGTCTAAATGTAGCCAGGGAAAGAGAATCAAGTGTTCTACTGAAACGTGTATGCTGAATCTACATGTGATTTAAGAATTGCTGGCTGGGCTCAGTGGCTCAGCCTGTAATCCCAGCACTTTGGGAGACCAAGGCTTGTGGATTGCCTGAGCCTGCAGGTTTAAGACCAACCCAGGCAATTTGGCGAGACCTCATCTCTACAGTAAATAAAAAATTAGCCAGGCATGGTAGCACATGCCTGTAGTTCCAGCTACTTGGAAGGCTGAAGCTGAAGAATCACAGGAGCCCAGCAGGTCGACACTGGGGTGGCTGTGAGTGTGCCACAGCACTCCAGCCTGGGCGACAGAGTGAGACTCCAACTCAAAAATAAAAAAGAAAAGAAGAATATTGCTGCCAAATTAGTGTTGTGTTTTTAAGTAAAGCAAAATTTATGGAGCAAAAAATGCAGCCCAAGAGTACCCTAAATATTCTCTCAAAGGGAAATGTTATGTGATTGCTGTGTTAGACATTGTTAGACACTGATGCTTTCAGTGATGCAGAAGCAAGTGTGGGGTTTTGTTCTAGAACAAATGAAAGCCATAACTGTGATAAATTGGTCTCTTTCATGTGAAAGCTTGTCGCTCCAGTGCCGCTTATGACCAGCCTTTGCCCTGTATTTCAGTTATTAGAGATTCCAATGTGGTTCAACTGGATGTGGACTCGGAAGTGAACCATGTGGTTGGACCTCTGAATCCAAAACCCGTTGATCAAAGGGAGCCTGTGTTTGTTGGAGGTGTTCCAGGTAGGTTGTGTTGAAAGGGAAAAGCTTTCAACAGCCAGCAAGTTCTCATAATGGTTATTATGGTGTTAGGAGTTGAGCCATGAGTTTCATAATCCACCTGATAACTTGGAGGATTTTATATACAGTGTCCTTGAATAGGAAAAAGCACCACAAAGTGATACATGAGAACTAGATCCCAGCATCTTCACCAGTAGATACGGCTCTCCCCTTGCCATCTGATTATTTTCTCTATTTCCTTTATGTCCCCTCCACATATATTACACACAGTGAAACACATCCTCTATTTTACCTCTAAAACCGAGAAGATCCATTTACTATCACTGCTCTAGGCTTTGAGAACTGGGGAGGATTAGAAGCATGCTGATAATCACCCCCTTCCTCAGTAGGAAGTAATGCACAGTTCTTTCTGTGATTAGTCTGAATTGTAAAAGCAGCTGCAGACCTTAAAAAGTTGTTCCTATGTAGCGACATTCCCTGAGAGAGGCTCCCAGCTGCAGTTCTGTCGCCACCATCAGTCACCCCTGCTGTCCTCTGACAAGAATGGTGACAAGAGGACACTGTGGACCTTTCACAGTAGTTCTAGCCTCTGAAGCAAGGACCATGTCCTTATGTCGATGCATTTGTTTTTACACATTTCACTGATTTGGAAAACCTGCATGCCAACGCTGGAAGGAAGTATAGACGAGAGAGACAAGCCAGCTTTATATCTGGGACGTGGTGGGGATTTTATTTATTGATACATCATAGTTGTACATATTGGAGGTACATGTGTGATATTTTGATACTTGTATACAATGTGTAATGATCAAATCAGGAAAACCTATCACCCAAAACATCTTTTATTTTTGTTGGGAACATTACAGTTCTTCTCTTCTATTTTGAAATAGACAATAAACTATTCTTGACTGTAATTTCCCTACTGTACTGTCAGATACTAGAACTTAATCCTTCCATCCATTGTATTTTTTTTACCCATTAACTAACTTCTCTTCAGCTCCCTTCCCCCTTCCGCTCCCAGCCTGATAGCCACCAGCCACACTCTATCGCCACGAGATCTACTTCTTTAGCTCATACGAGGGGGACCCGGAGAAACCCGGAATTGATTAAAAATTGGGGATGTTTTCTCACATGTTAAAACGTCAGTCACCTTCAAGGTGCTCTCCACTGCATGCAACACACCTGTCAAGACACCTTTCCCCCTGCTCAAAACAGCTTTTGCACTCATCACGTTTGAGGCCTTTTTAGTCATCTTCAAACAATCTTTTTGTTTCATCTCTTTCACATGGGCCGAACATTCCCCTTAGGGGATTGTCTTCATCCAGGAAACCAAAGAAAAGTTGCTCGGGGCGCGATCGGGTGAACAGGGAGAGTGGGGCACAGGAGTCATGCCATCTGAGGTCCGAAACTGCCGAATGCTCAGTGTGATGTGGGCAGGTTGTTCTTGTAAGTCACTCGTCGTGAAATGGGCAAACACACTGAAGAATCTCCACACACACACACACAAATTAACTGAAGCCTAACGCGGCTACTCACAACAACACTGGCAGTTACGCTGATGTCGATGGGTTCCTAGAACGTTTACTTAGCAAGGAAGCCTGTACTACAAGGGGCTCCAAAAGATAATTCCAGTTTCTTGGGGTCCCTCCTCGTATATATAAGTGAGAACATGTGATATTTATCCTTCGGTACCAGGCTTGGTGGGGATTTTAGTGAACTTCAAACTAGATTATTTTAGACTGTCCCATAAAGGCAGACAATGCTTTAAAGGAGAGCAAGAAAGCACAAATAAAATTAAGCATCTGACCTTAAATGGAAACAACTAAGCCCTCTTCTTAATTTTTTAATACTAATACTGACAGTATTCGATCCTCAAAAAGCAACTCTTCCTCTCTCACTTTCTCCATCCACTCCCTTCTCCATTCCCCAGTCTCCTCTTCCTGTTCCTGGTTTCAGTTATTTTTTTTTCTTTTAATTTTCTTGTAGAAATGGGGTCTCACTATATGGCCCAGGTTGGTCTCAAACTCCTGGGCTCAAGCCATCCTCCCCCCTCAGCCTCCCAAAGTGCTGGGATTACAGGCGTAAGCCAGCATACCTGGCCGCCACCGCTACACTTAATGCAGGTGGAAAACGTCCCACATCTGTTCTGATGCTTTTGCATGTTGCTTCCTTCCTAGAGTCACAACATAGTTTAAATACCTCACAGATTTCCAAGAGCCACCAGGACAGACTTCAGCATACCATGGGAGGTCCTGGATCACCTGTCTCCCAGCCCCTCCTTCAGGGTCTCCCCATGCATTCTGGAACTCGCAGTTCCCTGCATCTCGGTGATGCTCACTTGCTCCTTTGCACAAAGGCACAGGACCTCAGTTTCCAGGGAACGTTGCTCTGCCTTTCCTCCTCTAGTACCTTCTTAAGGACAACTTCTCCCATTCCTCCCCAAACCTACCTTCTGTTGATCTTAAGACTCATACACGCCCCTGTCTCCTCGATGTGTATGCAAACCACTGCTGGGGCAATTAGCACACAGCACTGTTGAAGCTGCCTAGTCCTTGCTGGCAGGGAAGATGCCTTCATCCAACACAAGGCATGAGTTGCCTGTTAAGCACTGTGCTAGGCTTCGTGGATGGACCAAACAAACATGGCCCCCTGGTGGACTTCAGAGTACTTGTTCTTTCTATGCACCCGATGTGCTAATCACATTGTTCAAATACACACTTTTATTTTTGCTTACTTGCTTTCACGGTCTGATCTCAGCTTCACACACTGCCAGCACCCTCACCACAAGAGTTGCTCAGGCTCACAGACTAGATGGGCATGTTGTGCCCGGTGCCCAGTTCAGCCTGCCCGAGACATGTAACACAGCGAGGTTCAGCTGCTGAACCAGCACACAGGGACCGGCAGGCAGAGGCCTCGACACCGGCCCACTACACCACTGCAGCTTTTAATTCCATCTAGAAAGCATTCCAGCACACCTAGAACAAAAGCAATTATGATTCAAGCTGAATGTAGTTAATTATATCATTTTGAGCTGATCCAGATTAATTTCATTAAAATCACATCAGAAACCAGGGCATTGCAGATAACAAAAAAGATCAGGCATCAATAAAACCCCTACTTGCTCTGGATTCTCTTGGGATCCCAGCCAGTTCCCCAATACTACTCAGAACCCTGGTGACTCTATTTCTGTCAATATAAAGCTAATGCATAGACCAGTATACCAGACAAGTCAACTTTAGTGTAAAATTTAAAAATCAAAATGAGAAGTTAAAGAATTTTAAGTCAACATAGCCCACACACAGGTCTAACCATTCATTCCTCTACTGAAAATCCTGCATTGTTCTCTATATAGAAATATTCCCTCTTAAAATCATGGCTTGTTTTATTCATCAACTGCCTAGGGTCCTAGAGCACAGAACAGTCACCACCCATAATTCACTGTGTGATAAATTATACAGACCATAATTGCTACATGAATTATGTTCTCCAGACGATTTCCTCCATTAACCAAAGGATAGCAAGTCTGGGCAGAACTAAAACCCATCTTCTAAAGCCAGTCTCCAAAATAAACTGAAGAATGAGATGTTTCTACCTTTACAATCTTTCCTGTTCTCTCATGTTTTATTCTGATGATGAAATACACCGAGCAGGCTTGAAGAATTTATACAGTTATACTAATCTAGAGACAATAAAAGGAATTGATCTCTTAGGCCCCTTCCCAGTCTAAAACTTTATGATTATCATTCTAAATATGAAATGCAATTTCCATGATTTATTTTCAGGACACAGCTTCTGCGTATTCTTACTCTGCATTGCTTAGAAAACTTATGACAGCTGCTTGCTGATATTGAATGTGCTGTCCTATTTTATGTTCTTTCCTGAGTTACTGATTTCTAAGTGTTTTCCATCCTTCATCTGCCATTGCTCACGTAGCTGTTCATAATAATAAGCTTTGACTAAATGGATTTTAATTTTATGCTATTTCTAAGCTCTCTAAATTGTTTTAAATTATATTGCTTCTAGCATCCCAACACATTTAATTGTGTCTGTACAATTAATAAGCATAGGCTTCTTCTAGATCTCTAATTAAGATAAAGGGAGAAATTTCCTCTGGCATACCACAAGGCACCTGTGGCCACACAAAAATGAGGCCAGTTATTATTACTCCATTTATAGTTCTTAAACCCCGAGTTCAGAAAAATTAAATTTTAGTTTCTTTGAATTCATTATTTTCTCATTATATGTTATGAGCTTGGCAAAAACATGGAGACTTAAGGGCAAAGAAAATGAATTAAGCAGAAACATTAAACAAGCCCAAAAATACTGTGGAAACTAAAATATATTTCCCCCTTCTCAGCAAAGCACTCAAAATAGTAAGGTCAAAGTGAAATTAACTTTACAAAGCTTAGACAGATCATGAGAATTCACTGCTGAGGCTTTACATTAAGTAGTAGGCTTCAGCCTTGGAAGACAGTTGCAAACCACAGAAATTTGGTCATGGAAACACGACAAAACCCTAAACAGCACATGTTCATATCACTCCAGAATAATGTTCCTAAAAAATGAGTCAGTGATAAACACATTCTACTTTTGACACATAAATCGTACTAGTGGTAGGAACAATTACTATGTATGCTTTCACCAAGAAGTAATATTTGGGCTTGCGATGCCTAAACTGTAATCTTTGTTTTTATTTCTTCTTCTCAGAGTCTCTACTGACACCACACCTGGCCCCCAGCAAGCCCTTCATGGGCTGCATCCGCCACTTTGTGATTGACGGGCGCCCAGTGAGTTTCAGCAAAGCAGCCCTGGTCAGTGGCGCCGTCAGCGTCAACTCTTGCCCGGCAGCCTGACATGACAAAGCACAGCCCGGCTCAAGCACAGAGTTCTCCAGAGCACTGAAATGAACGCAAAGCCAGCCAGGAGGAGCCATGACTCTTGCTTCTGCTGGAAGCCTCCACCTGGTTGAACAGGACTTAAACATCAGGGACTCATTCAGATCCTACCTTGGATCCAACATGTCTGCAGTGGACAACAGTTGAAGGAGTGGAAAGCATACTTGTGTTGAGAACACACTTAATTCCTACTGGTTAAATTACTGTTTCTGTTTCTAATAAAATAGAAGGAATTCTAAATAAACACTGGCACACATTTCTAAAGTGCGGCTAGATTCTCAGATGCATCCTTCTTTCAGGGAAAATAACCTTCCATTTATACCAAAAATCTTTGTCCTAAGCCAACTTCTTTATCTTGAAAAGATTGACTAATTTACATATAATCTAAAATTAGGTAATTGATTTGCTTTCAGTACTTTTGTTTGGTATCAGTATAACAATATTTTAGGTTTATAGTAGCAGTTATCATGGTTTAATAAAGTAAATTTCTAAAATATTATCAGAAAATGGTAGTATACTTTTTCAAGATTAAAAAAAAAGGAAATAAACAAACTACTTTGTTTCCTTCCTTGTCTCTTTAAATGTAAAATAAAACTGTACCTAAGGGGAGGCTCCTGTAGGGGATGATTATTACTGTCATTGTGTTCTGCAGGAATCATTAAGGACATCCTAGCAAAGAGAGAGGACAAAATCATAAAATTCCATCTAAAAGCATGAGTCCTTTTGTTGGAAGTTTGTTCTCCACAAACCTGCAACACAACTAGCCTTATTTCTAAAATGGGATAATCTTTTTTACAAGTAGCTATATTAATAAAGTCTAGAAAAAGAAGAATTGGCTTGAATAGCTGATGGAACATTAAAATATAAAAACTGAAAAAAGTATACATGAAAAGATAATCAACTCAGAAGACAGAATGAGGGAAAAAACAGGCTCTGATTGAACAGGACTGAAAATGGGTAAAAGGAATAATCTGGGGGGCGGATATAAAATATTTAGAGAAATCACCAAAGGGAATATAACAATCTCTTGCCTTGAAAGGATTTTTATATATATTATATATTTCACATATATGTGCATACCTGTCTATATTCTCCTACGCTTCTGTCTGGGTACATAAGTAATGGCGATGAGGATATCAATAAAAATAGCTAAAGTCAGCTCATAGAGGGCTTACTATAACTTGTCCACAGTCCAAGAAGCCAGTATCCCAAACCAGGCTGCCTGCCTCCAGGGGCAGCATGACTGTCACCCTGCTTCCCTGCTGCCTACAGGTTGACAGAGCCAGAGAGGTACCATAGAGGGGTCTTGCTGCAAAAACCAAGCAAGCACTTGCTGTGATCCATCTGAAAGGGCAGGAGGCTTTGTGAAGCCTGTCTGCTTGCCTTTAGGACTGGGTAAGAACAGCAGTTTCAGCACAACTGACAGTGCGTCACCACATACCCTCAACACATCACACACACATGCACACACACAGAGTCTACATAAAGAGTTGAGAAAGGCAAATGAAGGAACCATGTCTAGAATGTATGCTTCACAGATATTTATCCGTGTTCTTTATCGATGTGTTGTAAAACTCTAGACCAGTGCCCGGCATATAAGTTTATGCTCATAAGACAGCAAATTTAAGGGAAGCCAAGTTTTCATAAAAGTTATCCCCTCACCTCAAGGCAATCACTTGTTAAGTTTCTGACAGGAAACTTAAGAGGAAAAACCGACAGCAATTTCTTTGTTTGGGTTTCACTGAACCCCAAAGACCTCCAACTTGCCTGATAGTGTGGGGAGAGGACTGAGAGAATGATGGCATGGCCTGTCAGAGAGATGGGAAGCACTCCCTTAAGTCTTTGGTTGGTAACCTTTCAAGTCCCGAAAAGTAGGAAGGTTAGCCACCAGGAATAGGACCACTTAGTTTATAAACTTCACAGCACCAAAAGACAACTTTTCTCAGAGGAGACTGCTAAAGTGAAGGATGGGGTGGACAGAGGATAGATGAGATTGAGGGACAGGCCGGGTGCCATGGCTCACACCAGTAACCCCAGCACTTTAGGAGGCTAAGGTGGGAGGATTGCTTGCACCCAGGAGTTCAAGACCAGCCTAGAAAATATAACAAGACCTCTTTGCTACAAAAATCCAAAAAAATTGTAGTCGGACACAGTGGCTCATGCTTATAGTCCCAGCTACTCAGGAGGCTAAGGTGGGGGAATCGCCTGAGTCCTGGAGTTCATGCAGTGAGCCATGATTGTGCCACTGCACTCCAGCCTGGATGGCAGAGTAAGACCCTGATATGAGAG